CAGTCCAAAACAGAAACTTCAAAGTAGATCTATACAACCAGCAATCACACATTGATGTAACGGATAAATTGTGTCATCGACACTAATAGTCTTATGAATTATCAGAATGTTAAAAAATTAAAACGACTTCGTAATTAGAGTCCCGTGTTATTTTTCAGCTCCACGACATACTGTTACTCATTCCAGAACAATTCTAAATGGTATAGAACTACCTTTTATCCACGAAAATATTGAAACAATCATTTTCTTTCATCATTCATCTTTTTGACACTTACTTGACATTTCCGCCTTTCAGTGGAAGTTGGAACACATCATCGTCTCTGGACCTCTCTTTCTGGATACTAAGAGTCCTTTTGACGTGAGGTTTGCTCGATCTACGCTCCTTCGACATATTTTCTGTAAACAGCTTGCTAACTTTGCAAAATGTGTTTGTACTCTCAAACCAAAATGTCGTGGGATCGATCAATTTGTTCAGGGGATTATTGGATTTCTACGGTAATTATATTGGCTTGGCTAGAGACTCAGTAACTGCTAACCTACATTGTGCATGGGAATACTAAATTGCACATCTTTATATATTTTCTACTTTAATTTGCATCACCTTGTATGAACTTATGTGCTATTGCAACATTGATTGTTTTGCATAATTGATTGTGCTTGCATCAATGGTTGTGCTGGTGATTTTGTTTGCCCAGCAGTTGGCAATTCAATTTGGTTGTGCTTATACAATTACCATTGAAATAATCATGCATATACACTTGAGCCTGTTTCATATATTTTGTTTTACTATCTGGTGTGCTTCCAGTTTACATCATTGATTGCACTTGTGCATTTTTCAAATATTGATTTTATTTTGTATCTGTAATGAATCTACGATTCACTTTGACTTAACTTAAAAATTAATTTCTCTTAGTATTTAAACATGTTTGTTTTTTCACTGATTGGTTCAAAAAATATTACTGAAGTTGATATGAATTGGTTTATGACATGGGTTGCGACAGTGGGGTGGGGTCACTGAAATATATAATTGTCTGAACTAATTATAGTTAGGTTACTTCAGAACTAACCACTGCACTAAGTAACTAAAAATCCTATTATATCCTGGATTGTGCTTTCTTGGAAATGTTCATTTCCATACTTTGGTGTCATCATGCATGGTATCATTATCATTGATTGTGTTCCATAGTTTGTTGTCATCATGCATGGTATCATTATCATTGATTGTGTTCCATAGTTTGTTGTCATCATGCGTGGTATCATTATCATTGATTGTGTTCCATACTTTGTTGTCATCATGCATGGTATCATTATCATTGATTGTGTTCCATAGTTTGTTGTCATCATGCATGGTATCATTATCATTGATTGTGTTCCATAGTTTGTTGTCATCATGTATGGAATCATTATCATTGATTGTGTTCCATAGTTTGCTGTCATCATGCATGGTATCATTATCATTGATTGTGTTCCATAGTTTGTTGTCATCATGCATGGTATCATTATCATTGATTGTGTTCCATAGTTTGTTGTCATCATGCATGGTATCATTATCATTGATTGTGTTCCATAGTTTGTTGTCATCATGCGTGGTATTATTATCATTGATTGTGTTCCATAGTTTGTTGTCATCATGCATGGTATCATTATCATTGATTGTGTTCCATACTTTGTTGTCATCATGCATGGTATTATTATCATTGATTGTGCTATCGTCTCTTCATTGATTGTGTTCCATAGTTTGTTGTCATCATGCATGGTATCATTATCATTGATTGTGTTCCATAGTTTGTTGTCATCATGCATGGTATCATTATCATTGATTGTGTTCCATAGTTTGTTGTCATCATGCATGGTATCATTATCATTGATTGTGTTCCATAGTTTGTTGTCATCATGCATGGTATCATTATCATTGATTGTGTTCCATAGTTTGTTGTCATCATGCATGGTATCATTATCATTGATTGTGTTCCATAGTTTGCTGTCATCATGCATGGTATCATTATCATTGATTGTGTTCCATAGTTTGTTGTCATCATGCATGGTATCATTATCATTGATTGTGTTCCATAGTTTGTTGTCATCATGCATGGTATCATTATCATTGATTGTGTTCCATAGTTTGTTGTCATCATGCATGGTATCATTATCATTGATTGTGTTCCATAGTTTGTTGTCATCATGCATGGTATCATTATCATTGATTGTGTTCCATAGTTTGTTGTCATCATGCATGGTATCATTATCATTGATTGTGTTCCATAGTTTGTTGTCATCATGCATGGTATCATTATCATTGATTGTGTTCCATAGTTTGTTGTCATCATGCATGGTATCATTATCATTGATTGTGTTCCATAGTTTGTTGTCATCATGCGTGGTATCATTATCATTGATTGTGTTCCATAGTTTGTTGTCATCATGCGTGGTATCATTATCATTGATTGTGTTCCATAGTTTGTTGTCATCATGCGTGGTATCATTATCATTGATTGTGTTCCATAGTTTGTTGTCATCATGCGTGGTATCATTATCATCGATTGTGCTTTCTATCTTCATTGATTGTCCTCAAAATGTTTCCATCATTTCCTAAGCATTGATTGTCATATACAGTAGAACCTGTCTAGTTTGACTGGCAATGGTGTTCAGATAAGGTGTTCACATTTTGAGGTTTTTGCATTTGCGAGAATCTGGATTTTAAAGGAATTTGAACACAATCTCAATCATGAAATATTTATAGTTCTATTATATCGCATAACTTTATGGCATGCATTCCAATAATTTGAAAATAAGATTCAAATAAATTCATTAGTCAGGTGAGAAAGACATATTATTATTGAATCCATTCAATGTTCTTCCAAAAGTTTTGATATTACAATAAAACAGTGATAATATAGAAAATATTGAGCGATTTTTGTAGGGAACATGTAATATTTTATGAAAACTGTTCAGATTATATGAGTGTTCACATTTTAAGTTTTTTTTACATGGGAGTCAAGGGGAAGAAAAAATGGACCAAAAAAGTGTTCAGATTGAGAGGTGTTCAGATTAGCAAGGTGTATGGATATACAGGTTTTACTGTATTTTCATTGGTTTTTTTGTAGGTTTGCATTATTGTACCATTTTTCCATTATTGACTGTACATTTCCAGGTTAGTATCATTGATTAAGCCTTTTAGGATGAAAAATATTGATTGTGCTTGCAGTTTTGCGTTATCTGTAAAGTGTATCTGCTGTTTCATACAAGGTTTCTTTGCATATTGATTTTTCTGTTTGGAGATATTGGGTGCATCTTTAAGGTACAATAATATCTATTCATATTGAAAGTCCAACATTTCTAACTTATCATATTCCCCATCTTATAATAACTCTGAAACAGGGTAAGTCCTCTGTTTCAATTCAAATACATATGTATGTATGGACATTTCTGCATCTTGAACCTTCAAGTCCATGGTTGATCAGATAGCTTGATTCAAATAATAAAATCATGGTTGTAACAGAAACTTTGGCATTGTATTAAAAAAACTGCTTTGTTTATAATGCACTCTCTATAAGTCTCTGGTGCAATTTTGAGTGATCTAGGAAAGGGTAAAACAACTGACCACATTGACACAAACACATATTAAATATATACATAATTTGGATTGATGAAATGAATAATTCCCAACAGTCTGTGAGGATTTTGTTATTCTAAATAAAATTTTAGTTGTCAGACCCATAAATTAGAGCATTATGTTTAAGAAAACTGGTTGGAAAATAATAGAGAAATTAACTCATGGGAGCAGAAAAGTGGTTCCGAATTGGAGAAAATATTGTGTTTTTCAGCATTAAGTGTTGTATTTGATGATATGCATGTCTACACTTTTGTTGCTAAAATAGCGGGAAATTCAAATATTTCAAAATTACAAGATCAGTAACATTTTTTTGAACAATTTTTAAGTCATAAAAATATATAATGTTGGATGTTTGAGCTGCAACAAGGACTGTGAAGAGAAAAATGGATAAAATTTGCCTTTTCTGAGCTATCAGGGCGGAGTTTGGTCTAACATCTTCTTTCTTATTCCTATTTTATTAAAATGTATGCATATGGCAATATTCATCAACCAGTAGAACTGACAAATCGTTTAGAATCTATAACTCTATACAAGGAATCCCACTCATAGATTTTTCAAATTCTTTCCAAGTCAACGTCGAAACACCTAGCGGGTAAAATTGAAACTAATTTTTCTGACCTGCTGACAGCTCGAGTCTCTGATATAGTGTGAGTCTTTTTATGAAAACATTTTTTATAGAAATCACTTGACAATTATTAGAGAGAACAAACTTTTTGTTTGATTATGAAACATGATGTAAGCAACAAAGCTATATATATTTTATCCTGAGTTTATTTTAAGACAGGCTAGATCTATGCTAAACAATATTACAAGTCATGTACATAAAACCAAATCCATGCGAAACAAAAATGTTTTTCCATGTCACACTGAACTTTTTAACATTAATCATATAAGATGTCAATACAAATAATGTAAATGTTAAGACTTCATCCACATCCCAAGTAATGTTATATGACATATACTGAAGGCAATAGTGGAGAATACAAGGGGTACCAGCCCCCCTCCCTCTTATCCATCCTAAGATGGGCCCAAAATTTAAAAAATAGGCCTTAATTTTCAAAAACAGGCCCTCATTATGCCCTGTTACAAGGTCCCATTCCCATCATGATCAGGCTTCACTTCAACTTCACTTCAATGATATCCAGATCCATGCTTAGAGTGGACTTTGCCCAAAGTATTTTTTACAAGTAAATGTCTCTCTATATTGACCTATAAAGTAGAATGTTTCAGTTGATCTAAGCTCACCTTCACCCAAATGGACTGAACGGTTACGATATCTAAATCTGTAATTTATAAAATAAACCATTGTCCCTTTTTACTCCGGGTTTTTACTGGACCCGGCTAACTGTCTACATTTATCTATGTTAAATCTGTAAAACACTAATAAGCTCATATGAAGCAGATAATTACACCTATTCATTCTTGATAATAGTTGCATCTTTCAAAATAATTATTTTGAGCTTTGTCAGCTCATTTATTCATTATCAAATAGTTAAGCAATCTTGCATTAATCCCATGTAATATTAGTTTACATATTTGCTTCGGCTGTCTTATCTCGGACACTTACACAGGCATTACCAACGATGTAATATCTAAGAGCCTTAGTTGACCAATCACCAAATTCAGGATTATTCACTCCGATCCTACTACATGTAACAATATCTGAATTAGGTACATCATCACCCTTCTCTAGCCACATGTAATCGCAATCAGTCAAATTCTGCTGATCTCCATTGGACTTATTAACTTTAAATGATTGACACAGTTTTGATGGACCATTACACAGATCTTTGTCCTTCAATGGTTTTTTGGATGGTGTGGCGGATTTTCCAGATGCTATTCTATTAGAACGAAGTTGTTCGATGCCATCTATTGGTTGAATCCCCCGTATTAAAACTGCAGCTCCTTCACCTACAAAAATATGTTGAATATATTTTAAACTAGATAATGGCAACTCCGCGGAGTAGCAAATCCCAACGAACAAAATATCAATTACCGAATTCCAATCAATTATACTCATTACTTTGGTTGAAAATGAAAAAATTAGATTTTAGAATTGCGAATTCCTGCAAAGCAGCCATTTTGAATTTTCTGAGGTACAAATCTGAAAAATAATACCATAATTGTGATCTACTCCAAGATTCCTTCAATTTGAGTATACTATAGCCATACTTTGAAGGGATTGAAAAAATATTGCGAAATCGTACATTAGACGGCCATTTTGAATTTTACGAGGCTCGAATCAGAAAAAAGATACAATATTTGCAATCTACTCTTAATTGCCTTTCATTTGAGTATAATAAAGCTATACTTCAGAAAGATCTAAAAATTAGCGAAAATTTCTGTTTTCCTGTCCCCCCATACATGGCCCCTGGGGGTCAGGATGAAAAACACGGAATATATGTGCAATAGATAAATGTTGTGAATACACTACCAAAATTTCAAACAATAATATTAATTACTTTGGTTCAGAATGAAAAGTTTATGATTTTTGCAAAAAAGTCCCATCATTTTTAAAGCGGCGGCCATCTTGAAAATTTTTTTTTTTGCGTAAAACTATTCACCAATATACATCTTTCCACTAAATATGAAGAAAATCTGTCAACTAGTATTTGAGTTATCTTCCCGACAGACGGACGGACTGACTGACTGACTGACTGACGGACTGACAGACTGACGGACTGACAGACTGACGGACTGACGGACAGACGGACGGACGGAGGGCTTCACTATATCCCTAACGAACTTCGTTCGTTGGGATAATTACTACAAATGGGAATGTGGAAAGAGAAGTACAGAAAGTCATAAATGAAATAAATAAAATGCATAATGTGTGGAGAAAACCATGGGCTTTTAAGCGACCATTTTAAAACATTATTTTTTAAAATTCTGTTCATGTTATACAATACATGTAAATCAAGTAAAAGAATGTATGGTTCCATATTAGATAGCAGCTGAGCTGATTAAAATAATGATAACAAGAAATAATTTAAAACACATGAATCACACTATTGACAGGGTCTTTCTACCTCATATACAATAACCTACCTTTACTAGATATGTTTATACAACAGTACATGCCATAAATATTGTACACATACACAGTCCCTGGTGCCATAAACATAGCTTTGTTCCGATTGGTTTGTTTATTTCCACAAGAATGTGACGCCTTGTCTTCACCTCCAATGTAAGCTTCTGTCTCAACAATCCTTCCAGATAAACGCTTTCCATTGTCTATCTTAACAAATATTTGACCAAGTAATGACTTTGCCAACTCCTGACAACTTTTGGCAAAGAAGTATGTATCTAGACATTTTGGATTTGATTTAACAATTGCTTTTTCAGCTTGATGCTCCTCCCTTTCATCTTTGCTGTCATCGTTTTTGGTTTTTCTTTCATTGTCTTCATCAGTTTTAGATTCTGATGACAGCCTAAAATACTTTGAGGTCACTGAATCAGACAGTTTTTCTTTTGATGATTTTCTTTTTTGAGTCATCTCAACTGTATGTTATCATTTGGGAATACGCGTTCCACTATCAAAAAGAAATTATTTCTCCTTGGTCCTGAATATGTACACATCTGTAGTGTACTAAAATATTCGACTAACTTGAGTGGTCCCAATGGAATGACAAGACTAACTAGGCTGCACTAGGAACGACAAATGACTTCTTAAGTATGTACACTTCACCTGCAAGGAGAAATATTCATTCTTCAAATGATATATCATATACAATATACATGTACATGTTTGTTTACAAATCGTCATGCTAAGGTAGTGGGCGATAATATGAGATACAATTAATAAAATTGATTTTAACTGTAAATCTAAGTCGATTCACTTATGACATCCGTTTGAAATTATGTAATACTACATCCATAGAGAGGCATACATACATTCTATGAATTTTTGCGCATTTAGACTGTAAATTATTCAAAATAGGTGAAAATTGATTACCTTGTAAAAGTTAAAAGTAGGTCAGTGCACCTGCGCACTTACAGTATTTCCGGTAAGCGGTTCGAGGAAGTAAAATATTATCGTCTCGGTAAATCGCTGATAAAAAGCTGTACTTTTGGTATTTCCAACTGTAAGAATACTCGTGACGATTTCCAGTAATGCTATAGAAGTGGGAAAGCAACATTTCAACTTTTGATTTAGACGTAGTCGACTTGAATTTAGAGGTAAGAAAATTTGTTGTTCAATTTTGAACTCAACTCACAGTCACAACTGCAAAACACTTCTTACTGTATCTAAGATACCGGCCAGATTCTTTTGTAGTAATATAAGAAGCTCAATAAATATTCTTCAAGATGAGACACTGGATTGAAAAATTCCTTCTTTCAATATGATCACGCTTCAAAACATTCCTCGTGAAAAGTGGTCTGCATCCCCGAATCCCTGTGACAAATCTTGCACTACAGTTGGGGACAAAAATAAATGACAGGTCGATTTTCGATCACCATTTCCTAATTATGGTGGTCTGAAAGCCCATAATTTCCAATAGTGTCTAGATACATATCCCTTAAAATTTGTATATTTTACATTTTGTATAATCTCATCCACTGATGTATGGCCTCTTGTAAATTCTCTTATTTTTAACATGGGAAATCCTCACTTCAGCAAATCCACCTGTCATTTATTTATGTCCCCAACTGTAATAGGCCGCCTACAGTGGGGGACATAAAGAATTACAAAAGCTATGGAAATTACATGCTGTCGCACATGTAATAAATTCTTACCTCAGTGTATTCAGTGCCTAGAAAGTCCAGATATAGTGGAATTCGTGTCCATAATGACAAATAAGAACTTAAAAATTTGAAGTGGAATTCACATGTTAATGCCGACTCTACAAATGTTGAGGTGATTTTGGAGCCCGATTGCGCCGCAATGTGGATTGGCTCCCAGATTGCAACATAACACGTGTCAGCTTTCAAAATGCTGATCCGCCATTTTGAAATCTGTCACAAGTAAATAAGGTTACCTGATGTTGCATTCTGGGAGTCAATCCTCCTTGGATCACAAACATGGCGATTCATGAAAACATTCGTTCGATTTAGTAGGGATTTATTCATCATTTGCAGGTATGAAGCTTTGGATTCATTTATTGTGCTCCTTAAAATGAATGGGAATTATTTTTCTACCGCTTGGGAGAGTTTGAGACACGAAACTTAGAATTTAGCTCATTGCGACAACTTTTGAGTGTTGTGATTTATTTTTGTCCCCCACTTTAATATATTGCTGAGATCTTCATCTTTCTTTTTCTCCTTGTTTGGTTTGAGTAAATAAGCTATGTATGCTCTAATTTAAAGATTATTTCCACTGGCATCTATCTGTTCCGATGTCTGTGACTATTTCAATTTTTTGTATTCTCTCAATTAGAGGGGGAGGGGTGACATACTCCATGTGGTCAATAGTATCTAAAATCAAGTAAAATGGATTGGAATTGACTTTAATTTAAATGGGAACAAGTGTAAGTAGCCAATACAGCAGAGTATGATCTTTTACATGCAGCAGACCTATATAGATCCATGGTGACATACGGGCCCTTTTTTCACCATTCTATTCTGACCATTAAATTCAAGTGATTTTGGTCGTAAGTTATCAAATGAGAACCGACTGGGCTTTTTTGAAAAGTAAACCCCCCTTGGCAAAAGCTGGATACGGGTCTGTTTTATGGTCTAAGTGCTTGGCTAATTTTCTACATATAATGTTATGATAGACTGAAGGTGAAATGCCAATACTGAAGTAAAACCTCAAAATAAGATTTTAGTACAATAAAAGTACAGATGTACACAAGCATTTAACATTTTAAATTTCCAAATTAAAGCAAACAACATATCAACATAACCAGGTAACCCCTATCATCTTGGAAATTGAAAAAGTTTTTTTTTGTCTTTTTTATGGGGAAAACTACATTTCAAGGAAGGTTAATGTTAGATCTTGCTGAATGAAACTGCTACCAAGATTATTGAATTTTTCCATCTTTTATCTTGCGAGATGGGTTGTCTCAATCATTTTTAATGAATACTCGTTTATTGTTATTTTCTTTAAACTTTAACTGAGACAGCGTTGAAATATAAATAGCAATTGCATTTATCTGTAATGAATAATTTATATGGAATCATTTAACAGGTTTCACCTCTCCATAGGTGAAATCATTCAATAGCTTCTTGGAAGCAATCCTATTTAAGGTCACTCTATTACCTAATTTGGGTAGATCAATGCATTTTATTTGGTAAATTAACAATATTACCCCTATCACCTTCTTGTATTCCTTTGAAATGAACCCAAATCAAATATTTATCCATTTTTGAGTTGAAGCAAAATTTAAGAGTTGAAGGTTTGTTTATTTTATAATGATCGATCTGTTCAAACAGCTAACAATTTATATTTGACACCAAAAATACAACTTAGTATAACCATAAGAGTAGTTTTTATTAATGAGTTTCATGAGTAACTGTGGGGAATTGTTCAACTAGAAAAACAGCTTGGATTAACAAGGTATGAAGTTTTTGTATGTGATTTCAGGCCTGTAGCCGGGGGGAGGGGGTTCGATGGGTTCGAGCTGTTCCCCTGGCCAAAAAAAATCTTTCAAAATCATGCAGTTATTGCCATTCTGAGCATTTTTAAGTGATTTTGGCCATCTTTGGACCAAAATTGTCACAAGTGAACCCCCTCCCCCTAGAATTTTTCAAAAAGTGAACCCCCCCTTGACAAATCACAAATCCTGGCTACAGGCATGGATTGAAAATCAAATTGCCAAATAAGGATGTAAAAACATGACAACCATAAATATCCTAATTTGTACATTGTAGTATAAAAGAGAACTGAAATGAACAGTACAGGTTATTACGAACAAATATAAATTTAATTAAAAATTTACAATAACGACTAAATTGGAAGACCTGATGGTACAGTTTTATACAATCTCAATTTATTTTATACTTATACATGTATCACACATTGCAGTAAGTGGACTAATAGTATTGCTGTACTTGATCTTTATAAGGGCCACTTGTGCATTTGTAGAAAAACAAGGTTTCTATTTCTTTTTTTAGTGCAAGAATGCAATGATTAATAGGGTGCCATAATTATGGTAAGGGGTATACAGTGTTCTTGACAAATGCTCTACTTTATCACTAAGGACATTCTAGTGATTCAACTTAAATGTGCTTTTATTATATGATGAGTTGTTCTATGAGTCTGACATCTGGAATTTTGATTATTGGATACGTTGAATGGTAAAACCTGTCTTAGTGAACACCTCTCTCTAGTGAACACCTACATACAGTGAATACTTTTTTGTGGCTCCATAGGTTTCACTGTACATGTATTGTGGTTAATCTAACAATCAGATGTTGCTTCTAAAGTTCCATTTCCAATATTACATTCAGAGTATTACATCAGTATTATTTGTTGAAGTTCGAGTTAAAATCAGGACACCAGATCTCAGAATAACTGGCATGTGTCAGATATTTATAAACCTTGAAATTACTAAATGCTTGTACTTTTGAACTACCCTTCACGGGAGCTCAACAATTTTTTAAATTAGGGAAAATTCAAGGCCTGTAGCCACGGCAGTTCGGGGATTTGTAGGATGGCAAAATACATTTAAGTAACTTGGAAAAGCTAGTGAATTATAAAATCATATGGCACTGCATGGGCTTTCTTGAAAACCAATTGCCACAGTGCTGTATGTTGCCATTATATTGAGGAGAAAGTAATTTTAAAATATGAAAGTGATGAGTCTTAGGATCTTGCATCATGATACACATCTCTACATGTCTTAATGCAAACAGATAAGAGGGTGTCTCGTAAATCAGAATGAATATATTGTACAATATTGTACCTTTTATATTTAGGATGAGGAAAAGTGGAAATTCTTGATGAGGTTTTTGATTGCAGCAAATACTCACAAGGAAAGCGAGAAGTTCATAGAACTAGAAAGAACAGTTTTTCGTTTGGCAAAAAAACTATTGTCCAATGATTTCATAATACGGAAATGAGGAGAGCCCATTCATTATTTTATATATCAAATGAATATTCCTAATTCATTGCAGATCTCCCATTGACTGAGTGATCTTCCATATTCTTGTCGTCCCACAGAACAATGGCGACAAGCTACACGGTGCAGGATTCACCCCGGCACCCTCCTCTACAGAGGCAGAAAAGTCGCTTCAGAGATGTGAGCAGGTAAATCATCTGAATATTTTGATATCCTCAAGGTAGATCTAGTTGCATGACTTTTTAGATGAGTTTTGTACCCTGCTAGATAGTTTTGTTATAATGACTTAAGTAAAATTAGGAATTTGTTGCTTCCTCGCCTGCTTGATATTTGTACGCTATTTCGAAGTATTTTTAGCATTGCTTAAATCATTTATTTTATTGTTTTTGGCTGGTGAAGGTAAGCACTTAAAGTAAGGAAAACCACATACTCATCATACATGCTGAGTCATTCCACATATGTAAATAAGTACCATAGTATCCTTATTTTACCACAATCTACCTTTTATGCCTTTATATTGTATTTTACCACAATATTCAAAATTTGTTACAGGGTCTCAATTTAAAACCAATTTTGGTCACAATTTTGTCCAATTTTGATCACATTCTCGAAATTTTGCTTCCCTGTCTTCTTCCCCATTTGTTATGGAGACCCTGGGCCTATATGGTCAAATCAATACTTTTTTGCATTTCCTCCAGAATCACCACAATCTCCTCATTTTCTCATATTTTCAAATGTACTACAATATCCTTCTTTTTGGTAGACGACTGTCAATGTCCAAATCTTTTGGAACATCATTCAATGGAACGTTTGCATCATCATTCAATGGAACGTTTGCATCATCATTCAATGGAACATTTGCATCGTCATTTAATGGGACGGTTAATTGGGAGAATTCTAATCTTTCAATCAGGAATGTTGGTCGGTAAGAAAGCTGACAGTACATTTTGTGTTTCTGCACAATGATTGAGCATTTTGAAATTTGTAATAACTATTTTGATAAAAATTGTTTGGTTTGTATTACTTTATTTTGCTGATAATGATCATGAGTGTTTTACATATTGCACAAAACAATATACATGTATAAAGGAACACTTATCTTGTTATAGTTGTATTCATAGTACTCTATATGCATATGTAAATCTTAAGATTGATGATAATTCTGTTGGCATTATATCATTACAATCAGACCTTTACACTATAAATAATACATCAGTTACTCTACATTTCCCCAGAGAGATGTTATCGCCTTTTCTTCGCCTTTTCTGTTGTTTAGCAACCAAAAGGGCAGAAAAGTTTCAACGAACATGATGCAGAAACTTCATTTGTTATACTACACAAGAGGCTCAGTCCCACAATGCACCTGATGAATCATTTGACAATGCAGAATCAGCTGTGTTTGATATAATTTGATTTTTTAACACTGGGATCCTCCTCATTTGTTTTGGGAGTTTTTGATAATGGGGTTATCCGTTTAACTCAAAAAGCCACAAGTTCCAAGTGATTCTGAGTGATGTTTTCATGCGGTGAACGATCTTGAAAGTTTTGTGTAGGGGCGGATCTGGGATTTGGGAGAGTGGATGCACATGCATTGCACCCCTTTCATTCCCCTGTGAAGTCTAGCATCTTTTTGATTCAACTCAAGGAATTTAGCTGGCCTGGTTCTTGAATAAACCCTCATTATTCAGTTTTACAATTTTACAATACAATTTTATGTCACCACCAGAAGTTGTGACATATTGTAATAGTCTCTAACTTTTTTGGACAGTTTTCAGCATATTTAATAAATGGCAGGTGGTGATATTTTCCATGTTAATGCCTTGTTACAATTTGAGACATTTACTCTTTTTAGTCTCCAGTTATCACTTTTTGATATGTTGCATATTGTATATATGGAATTGAATCTAACAACAGTTTTGCACTCCTATGAGATGAATACTGCTATGAGAATTTGTGATTGCTGATTAAAAAGCATTTATGTTCATGTAAATTCTCTGGATCCTTCTACAATGCTGATATAGGAGCAATCACCAAATCATTATCTCATAAATAACTGGCCTAGTTGTTGCTGGGAGTGCTGTTTGAAGAACACAAATGCCACCAGTTGATAAGAAAGTTTTTTTCCTCAAAGATAACACATGCACTTGGAAACACTAGCATTTGTACATATTTTGTGTTAACAGACATTTGTGTATTTAGTTGCAATTGGTTTAAGCATATGATTTACTTGTGTTTTGCTTGGTAAAATAATGGTTTAATTAAAGAGGTAATAAAATATATACATGTATATGAATATGAGTTGAGGTTAACATTTTGAAACATTGTTGATCATTTTTGTGTTTAGAGGTGAACTCAGATCATATTTCTGAACTTCAAAGCTATTTCAATTTTTCAGATTTTAAATTCAAATACATGTAGTAAGGTCAAGGAACATATTGCAATTTTTATTGAAAGAGAACATGTACTTCCAACATTTGACACACCTCCATATGTTACTGCCACCATAATGACCTTGATTCTTGCGTTCTTTTTACTACAAAAAAATCAATGAAATTGAGTATTTCTTTAAGGTACGTTCACACCAACGGCGAATGCCACGCTTTAAATCGGCGAGCAAAGCGCCGTCATTTTTGTCATTTTTCTTCATACCAACGGCGCTTTGATGGCGCTTTAAAGCGGCTTGTAAAGCGGCACCAAAGCGTAACAAAGCTTTATTAAAGCGTCGGGGTCGTAATAGGTCGTAGAAAAGCTCAGAGTAAAGCGGGATATTCGGCAAGAGCGCCAAAAAATGTTAAACTTTTTAAAAATTTTGGGCGCTCTGTTACGAATCGATTAAGCGCCGAGAGCGTATCAAAGCTTAACAAACCGTAACAAAGCTCAGAAAAGCTTGATCCAAAGCGTAGGAAAGCTTAACATAGCTCTGATAGGTTCCTCACGCTTTGACCAGGCTTTGTTACGCTTGAAATCACGCTTTGATAAGCTTTGATAAGCATTATTACGCTTTGATGCGATTATGACGCTTTAAATCAGGCTCTGATACGATTGCCAAGCTCTGTTGTGCATTGTTACGCTCTGTAAAGCTCTGTCACGCATTGGAAAATGTCGAGATCGCCGATTTCATGCCGCTTTTGATCCAATGACTATATAAAGATGCAGTAGATCCATAAAACCATTGCATCTTTGACTCGGGAACACGATGGCAGACCAACAAGATCCAGAAATTCCAGATGGACCAGAGCATGACCTATCTGAATAAAACATGATGTTTGACGCACGGCGTGAAAGAGCGTGAGAGAACATGAGGAAGCTTGTCAAGCGTAACAAAGCCTAACAAAGCGTTTCAATTCTTGATGTAAGCGTCTCAATTTGTTGGAAAGCTTGAGAGTCCTTCATGAAAGCGTAACAAAGAGTGTCAGATATTGATGAAAGCGTCTGCCCTCGTGTCAGATCTTCATGCCAGATCGTAACAAATCTTGAGACATCTTAACGAAGCGTGTAAAGTGGTAACAGACCGTGAAGAGACTGGGGTCCCCGCTTTGAACCAAGCTCTGTTAAGCTTCCCTACGCTTTGGATCAAGCTTTGCTGAGCTTTGTTACGGTTTTTTAAGCTTTGATACGCTCTCGGCGCTTTAATCAATTCGTAACAGAACGCCCAAAATGTTTAAACAGTTTAACATTTTTTGGCGCTCTTGCCGAATATCCCGCTTTACTCCGAACTTTTCTACGACCTATTACGACCCCGACGCTTTAATCAAGCTTTGTTACGCTTTGGTGCCGCTTTACAAGCCGCTTTAAAGCGCCATCAAAGCGCCGTTGGTGCGAACGCTTAAACAGTTAAAATTTTTTAGCGCTCTTACCGAATATCCCGCTTTACTCCCGAGCTTTTCTACGACCTATTACGACCCCGACGCTTTAATGAAGCTTTGCTACGCTTTGGTGCCGCTTTACAAGCCGCTTTAGAGCGTCATCAAAGCGCCGTTGGTGTGAACGTAGCTTAATCAAGTTATGCACAAGATTAGTCTCACTGATTTTGTTATGTTAAATACTGAGCCATGTTGTCTAACTTTCAAATTGTTTTTGCACAATAAAATCAAAGTTTATATATCTGTCATAAATCAAAGAGATGAGATTACAACATTAACACATGCTTTGAATATTTTTGTTTATTTTCCCACAAAGTACTAGTAATACATGTACTTCAGATCAAACTTCGTGTATTATTGTATATTCAATGTTCATGGCTTTTCTGAAGTGGTGATATTTCGCCATAGCCATCTTTTTTTGATTGACATTCACAAATTATATATTCAGCATTTGTAACTACAGAGTATAGTGACCTGTGATGTAAAAACAGAACTATAGCATTACGTTTTAATTATCGCACTTTTTGTAACCATTTGCAATAACTCGCTAGAGTTGTGTAGATTGAATTGTTCACTGCATTCTATCTATAAGCCTTTGTGACCCCCCCCCATTATGCATCTCCCCACACTGATGTGTTGGTGAAGTAGATAAGGGGAGGGGGGTCCACAGTCTTGAAGCAAGACTATGTTCACTGTTAACACCATATGGAGAGTGTCAAATGTTGGAAGTACATACACTCTTTTCAATAAAGTTGCAATGTGTTCATAAATCCTTACTATTTGAATTTAATACCTGAAAAACTGAAATAGATCTAACATCAGTGTTTTTCCTAAGCAAATATAAATCACAGGACCAATGGACTGGCAATATCAAAATTTCAACCAGTCCAGGCTAAGCATCATCAGTCATCTGGACCTGTAACTTCTGCTACATCACAGGTCCAAGTGAAAACCAACCAGTCCTTAAAATATAAAAGTTACTTCGAATTCAGAACTATATGTATTGGCACTTACCTATGCTATCACATTTTGTGACATTTGTCAAAAGTTCAAAAAGAAATTTAAAAAAATAATACAGGAACCGGAAATTACTTTTGCTACACTGGACGAAAACAAATGTAGTTTGTATCTTCACCCGGGATTGTTTAACCTCCATTTATCCTACTCGATCAATTTATGAATCCCCATATAATTTCTCGTTATAATTATATTTATTTAGTTAGTGGACAGTAATGAAGTCCCCGTGTTGGCATTCCCGGTTAATTTGCTTCCATAATCAGAAATTTTACATCGAACGAAATACCATATGGTCACTACCCACAATTCATTTGGACCAATCAGAAAACCTGAGATCAAAAAATATTTCAAAAAATCCTGTCTGTTTTAAAGATTTTCGATGTGATAATGAGTAAAATCTTGAGTAAATGAAGTTCAACGATCGGACTGATGTTTGAGGTAAGACTTTGGTGCATATCTTAGCCATCGGACTTGGACGGTCTTGTGGACTGGTTGGTTGGAATAAATCGTCAGTCCTGGGTCAACATCATCGGAGATGTCCCATGGTCCGACGCTTAGGAAAAACACTGTCTATCATTGAAGAAACTGAGTCCATGTTAATGCCTTGCCAAGTTAGTGGTAAAATCCTTCCCATGCACATTCCAATAATATTTTTTGTGTTTTTCTTATATTAATTCAAGAAATAAAAAGCTCATGGTTCAAGTTTGTAATAATTTTTTGTAATAGTTTTATCCATTTAGAAATCTGCAGAAACAACAATGATATATTTTATATACATCTTCCTTTGTGAACATTTTTACCAGTCTCAGCAGAACTCATTTAGACTGCCTTTATTTACTTAAATTCTAAAATCCCTTAATCCTCTTTCAGTTCATTTGCCTCCGCAACTAAAAATTTCTTCGGTCTTGGCGATGAGGACTGCAGAACATCGGAGAGATGGAACAACAGGAGAATGCGACTCTGTAGCAAACCCACACTAGGGGGAGCCAGTGGTGTCAAAGATGAGTATATCAAGACAACAGCGGACCTTGATGACGTTGATGGGATTCATATTCGTGATCCTTTGAGATCACCCCTTCAGACAGGTCGACCAGGGGAAACAATGCGTATGATGTCTACAGCAAGCTCAATGAGTAGACGCTCAGGTAGACGCACCCCTAGGAATTTAAAACGCAAGGATTCTGTCCTGAGAATGGCTGTAGACGGGTTGAGAGTGAGTAAAGTTAGAATTCTATAAAATCACTTCATTTTCGAGATGAGACATTTAAAGTAAACTTAAAGCTCAGTGGATTCTGGAATATTTTGTTAATTCTGTAATAATTCAAATGCTTGTAAATTCTATAAAAAAAACTGATCAACATTTTGTTACTTTCATAATCGTGTCTGTTTTTAGCTTGCAACAGTAAAAGCTAATGCTAGATAAGATAGTCCTACATTTATTGAAAACTGTGATGTCATCAAATATATATAAGCACATGAAAGAAAAGGTGGATCTGATAACTATAACACTTGTCTTACAGGAGGACATGTTGTTCCAGTAACTTATGTCCCAGTGATAATAGTCCCCAGTCCTGATTGAGTATGAACAAGTAATAGAATTAGCCAATTGTATTAACCAATGGAGAGGGGACAATTATTATTGTAATACAAGGTTTAAAAGCAGGTCCAGTATTTCAAATTTTTCTCTTTCTTGCCGTCAATAATTTCACCTTGACATTCTAATAAATAATCCTAAAGTTCATTTCATTGTATAGGGGTCCAGACGTGTGAAACGACGTAGCACATTTATGCACAGTCGCACATTTGCTCCAGGCGCCATTGTTGATGACGATGAAGGACATGACGTGTCTGCGCTACAGGTTGGTGCCAGGATGTTGGACGGCATGCACTCTTAACCCTTTAACACTGAATGTTTAACCCTTTGCATGCTGACAATATTGTCTTCTTTTCCTTATTGTACTCAACACTTTGTATTTAATATTTATTGTAGCTGGACATCCTGACTTATTTACTAATATTGATTGCAGTATTTTTTTGACTTATCTGAGAGCCTCTTTGTGTTGCTTGTTGTAGCTGTTCTGTGTTGTAATGAACTTGTTGTTGTAATTACATTGTACTGTGTTGTAAGCTAACAAAATCACTAACCACTCAACCTAACCATTAACATATTTTGTATAATTGTGGTTATTTTCACCAGTTCACCTCATTTCATCTGAGGTTCATTTAAGGAGTTCATTCAAATAGATTAATTATCATGATCAGTAAATATGAAAACAATTCCTTGTCCAGTTTGGCATTATGTGCATAAGTGCTATGATGATTTTTTTTTCATTGACGTGTCGCAAAAAGGTGGTGCATTTGTTTTTTAAGGGTATCGCGTGAATGTAACTTTTCCCCGGATTATAAGATAATATTCTAATTAAAGTTATATATCATTTTAAAGCTGTTTCGATGAAGTTTTGAGATCAACTACACTCCGTTCACGATTCTTGCGCGTTCTTTTTTAAAAAAGAGTTTTTTACCAAAACAACTGGCAAATATCCCCTGTTGACACGTTACATTTTGAATTATTTTTCGTCTTTAAACGCTCATAACTCAAACAATATATGACTATTATACCTTTTTTTTGTCTTGATAAAGGTTGATGGACGTTTTATTTCAAAGGATGAATTTTAGTAAGCGTCCCATATTGTGACGTCATAGAGTTTGAAAAATAGAATCTGTTGACAGCGACCTTTTTTGCTCATTTTTTGTTACCTTCAGCTTTCAGGTGTACATTAAACAAAAAATACGACACCAATTTAAAATAAATTATACATGATTATTTTGCTCCTAAACTCTATTTTATTAATAAATAGTTGATTTTGTTTGCAAAAGTATGTGTTTTCTGTTGTATGTGGAAAAGTGGAGGACGAAAGGTTTTCAAAATTCATTAAAATAGGGCTAATTTACGCCATTCGCCTATTTTCAAGCACAGCAACACGTATATTTATTTTACCTAAAATATCAATTGATTCGTGTTTTATGATGCTCCTATCCCATTGTTAATACATGTCCGATATCAGAGTTATTCGACTTCAACATTTTGAGATATAGAGGCAAATATGGAGGACGAAAGGATTTCCATATATGTACATTTTTCTCAAAAAACGTCACATTCTGTTGTGTTAAAAAGCGAAAATGTGTAACAATGCATGCGCGACCTTTTTGCGACACGTCATTTGTATTGGCCCTCATAGTTATCATAGTTGTGGATAGCGTAATTAATTTAGCTCAAACAGACTTAACCCTCACCTTTATACCAGTGCATCTTTTCACTGATTTGACACATCATATATACTTTAAAATCTCCTAAATGGTTAGTTATTCATGTTTTTGCATAAAACAGTCTCGTTATATGCTTCACATTAAATTTTACAAACAATCTATTTTGTTAATAACCACTAAATGGTCTTCCATAATGAAATTGTTTGGAAGTGTAATATTTTTGGAAATAGAAATTGTGTTCTTGAATATCCATTTTTACACTTTTCAGTTAATAAACTAGTGAGTCAACACTGTCCTCACAAATTCAAAATCAACAAAAATCTATTATTTGGAGAATTTCATTTGAAGCATACGAGACAATATGTCTATATACTAACATCATTGTTAATTTTGATAATTATTTTGATTATTTTATTTTAATGTTAAATCTCTATCTATTTAGTTACCATAGCATGTGAATAATCATTTATCTAATTTAGAATCATCAAAAAAGCATTTTTCGCATGTTATGCAAATTTCCCATATATATTTTAACTGTCATTCATTACTAATGCTTTTATTAAGAATTTAAAATAATTCATTTAATTGTAGCTTATCATTGTGTAATTTTAATTGCATCTTGGTAGAAGTTATCTTATGCTTGCTTGCCTTATATACAGTAAAACTTGTATACATACTTTGTATAGAAAAAATAAGAAGTAAAGTTGTGACCTCTTCTTATTTGGAAATTTTAGCCATTTTAATTCAGACACCATGTCACAAAATTAGCATGGGAAAAATGCAATGCAAATATTATCAAAATATGGTACATCATTTTTTTCATAAACAATCCTAAATTAAACTTAAATTCATTGGGGATAAACAATTAAGACTTCACTGTTTGAAGGGTTTATCTGCACGGGTTTTACTGTATATTAGTCTTATAACCTACTTCATGGGACACAGATAAATATAAAATATTTATGCAGATAAATATAAAATATTTATGCAGATAAATATAAATATTTATGCAGATAAATATGAAATATTTTATCTGTGTTGTCCAGCATTAATCTGACTAGATGGATTAATATTTTATAATTTTCAATCCGTGTTGTCCCGCATTTCTTAAAGGCAACCTGGGCTTCAGCTGATTGGAGTATTTGGTCTCAGGTAGGGTATGGTTACTATGGTACCATGAAAAGTACATCACTTTTCACTTTCTGTGAGGTTTTCAATGCTATCAGAATGGTCACTAGGCAACATTTATCATATCATTTTTAATAGGCCTAGGTTACAGGCCAGCTTCCTCATAATCCTCAACTGTAACATCTCCCAATTACAACTCTACTTAGTTGTGATTGTTAACTTCTATTGCGATTTGGGGAGTAGAGATTATCCAGTATTTAGATTCTCAACTCTTGCAGTAAATCTCGGAAATATAATAGGCTTTCCAGAGAAAGTCCCTTGGCAAAATTGAGTTCTCTTTGATTTTGGAGGATTTAAAAAAAGTTCTTGTGACCATTTTGATACATTTTAGGTTGAGGATTGTTCAATCAGTTTTTGGATTATATATATCTGCACTCACATTTTTGTAAAGAGGGTTTTTCCATGAGTTGTATATCCAAAATACTAACCAATGATGATATGCTTATTCAAATATGTATATTCAAATGAATTTTAGTGATTTTGAAAGCTTGCAATATGTGCACTTGTCTTATACATGATTGTATTCTCTTTTAGTTCTTCATAGACTAGGTGTTTTAGTGTTGTTGTTTTTAGTTGTCAGTGGAGTGAATCACACTGCATGGAGCCCTCCAGGGAGCATGTTACTATTGTTGTCTGTGGTGGTCCAAGTGGTCATAATGCAGTTATATACTTGCCTCCTCTACACAGGGAATAATAACTGAATTTATAATTCTGCACATTTACACATTTTGTTGCATGCTCGCTAAGCCCTGATTGTGTTTTTTAAAAACCTAGGTGTGATATCGTTTGATTGGCCAAGAGGAAAATCACCATGGAATGCCCCATGTAAACTTTAAGGGACCTCAGGTCATGATTTCAATATTGTCCCAAAACATAAACCGTAACATTACCCATCCCCCTCCTTAAACATAATTAGCATAGCATTACTTGATTATTTCAAATGAAAAATCATGTTGAATTATTTCTAAAATAACAGAAAATGCCAGTTATAAATAGATCTAATTCTTGTAAAAGCATAAATCTGGAACAATAAACTCAGTAATCTCCATTGAAAATAGATGTACAGTGTATGCTCTTAAAACATAATGGACTTCCTTGGACCCCCCTCCCCCGAATGTAATTAGCACCAATTGTGGGTATATATTGATACATTGACCTTTTCCCTAAAAGTCTGCAAATAACACACTCTAACCACTGTTAATAATAGTTTCTGTTTTTTGCTTCAGTTTTCTTTTATCTTTTGATTCCCTTGCATGGTTGTTTCTACTAATGTTTTTCTGTTGCTTTTAACCAACCAAAGACACTTGTTCCCCGCAAACGTGGAACCGCATGGAAAAGAGTACGCTCTTTCTCACCTTGTGATTTGAAGAGTAATATGGGGTCTGGTTACATGCTTAGCCCAACTCCACTTCAGGTTTGAACTTTGACCTTTCGTTTTATAATTCACTAACCAATCAAATCTCTGAATTGCCTCTCTTGTTCACCTTCTCTAATATATATTGGTTCGGGAAAATAGTGGGAAAAGGGGGCTAAAGATTGTTTTTCAAGACAGCCATCATTTTTTTTTATACTATGTTTAATAATCGTACAGAAGTATTGTTCAGTAGTTTTACTAGGCTACCTAGATTTTTGTTCAGTTGAATATGACACTGTTTATATGGTTATCTTATTTTTAAAACATTTTCATATTTGTAGGCAAAATATAATTTCTGGATGAACATTACCTTATTTCGATTTACACTACTTTGTGTTAGGTACAAAACATATTTGCATAAAGATTCACTGTAAAATGAGGCACAAAATAATTTATAAGCCATCACTTATTGACAATACATATTTTAATATCTTGAACAATTAATATGAAAACTTCTTTTTGTGGTGCAATGAAAATAACCCTTCAAAATATTTCAGACACCAGCAATACAAGAAGATGATGTATTCTTCGATATGCAGACACCATCTAGTGATAAAACTGGAATGTCGTTGTCAAGGTTACCGTCAGTGTTTGAAACGCCAAAATCTACTCGTAAAATGGAAGTTCATCCAACAGAGGTTAGTTTATCCCAAGCCTAATATTTTTCTTAAGATAATTTTTATGGCTGTTGTTGAGTAAATGTGGTCTGTGGGTCAGATTGGGCCAGCAGACTTCCTTAGCCCTAGCACATGAAGCAATCCCTGGGTTTAATTTACTTGACCCATCATTCATTTTTGGTTTTATCCCATGTAGATTTGCACTCTAAATATAATACAACTGGCTTTTCCAACAATTCCTCTCATCTGACAATCGGTTAGTTGTTATATCACCGACACAAGTGGTGTAGTCTCCAACTTTTTTTGTGGATTGTTGGTGTTTGGGAGGCAATGGTTGGTGTTTATTGTCTGTAACAAATTGCAGGTGGTGACATTTTACATGTGAATGCCTCGTCTTCTTTTGGCTGTGTATTCGTATTCATATTGTTAATGGCACATTCCAATTATACTCGTATATCTCGTTACTTCATTTTCACTGATCTTTGTTCGCTTTCATTTGTAGTCTGCCCCCATACCAGTGGCTCCACCTGCAGAGGGTGTACCACCCATGGAAGAAAAGTAAGTCAGTCAATCCAAACTCCTCTAGGAGAAGATTAACACTTAAAATTGTAGAGAAATGCATGAAAATGTGGAACTTTATCAAAATGATTAGAGAAATGATGTCTTAATCATGAAAACACATTTTTGTAACTGGGAAATTTTATGTTTTAAAGTAATTAAAAGAGTTGCCTTTGCAATTGAAATAAAATATATGGGATTTAAATTTACTGTTTCGCCGTAGTACCTTTTTCTGAAGCTCTCAAATAATGTTACGCATTATTGCAGTAGTGAACATGACATTTGTACTCTTATTATAGGCCTGTTGCTGGGGGATGGAGAAAACGACCAGAACTGGATATGGCTAAACCAGAGGCAGGAATGGACGAAGTAGATGGGCTAGGAATGAGACGTATAGCAGCAAATGTTTTAGACGCTACCCTTGATAACTCTGATAGACGGGAATATGCAATGGGATTTGTCGGCAGGGTATTTAATCGTTCGTTCAAAAGAGATCGGATGAGTACTGATGTTAAAAAGCAGATTGATGAAATGGATGATCACAGGTATTGTACAATGACTTCATTAATAATTTCTTTACAAATCGTGAAGATTGTGTCCCTAATAAAAATTATAAAATATATTTTTCCAATTATGAATTTCTTTTACAAATTCATAACAGCATATGTCTCTATTGTGCAGTGGGTGGTGACTATCAACCATAATGGGTTATTTAACAAAGGGGTGGAATTCTGTTATTCTGTTATTAATTCTGACAGTTCACACCTTGTATTTCAGGCCATACCTATTAATCATTGATCTTCCCTTGTATTATCATTTATACCCATTAAATGTTGGTCTCCCCTTGTATTTCAGGCCATACTTTACATATTGGGTGACATTTGTTCAGGTCGTGATCTACATTGTGTCTGTCTCCGTATATGGTATTGCGCCAATAGGCTTCGGGGAAACTCAGAGGGAGGCCACGGTAAGTCAGCATCTGATTTGTGGATTGTATGCACTTTTTAGTTGACAGAAATGTTGATATTTTTTCAGTTCATCATGATGCACCTGTTGCATTTTCTCTTTTGTAGATGTAGACACAATAAAAAAATATTGATGATAACTAGTAAAGCACTTTGAATGAATTACCAAACTGTTCTACTACAAATTCCTCAGTAAAAATAAAGTAAAAACTCAATGAAGGTAATATTAGAATTACAAGTGATAAAATACTCTTTAAATTGATAAGTTTTATCTTGCAGGTGATGAAGTCGAGTGTAACACTAGAACAAGTATCTTATTTTGAGCCAGACAACTTCTGGATTGGACCACGCCAGGTATGAACAATGGATATAGGTGCAATTGAAATGTATATGAAATTAGAAAACCCTAATGTTTTTAAATTCTTTGAAATCAGAAAAATCTAATATTTTGAATTTATTTGAAAACAAAAAAATGTTATGTTTTGAAATTTCTTGGAATCAGAAAAATCTTGTTTTTTGTTCATTTAAAAAGAGAAAAATTCTTATTCATTTGGAATTTCTCTAAAATCAGAAAATTTTATATTTTAGGAATTTGTAACAATACAAATCTTCTGCCTTGTATATTATGAATCCCCAAAATCTGTATCTACATGTATGGCAGATATTGACAAGTTATAAGCATTTCGTCTCTTCCAGGCTGATTTGATTCATCTAGGAGCCAAGTACTCCCCTTGTATGAGGCCTGACACACATGTAGTGAACGCAATAGCGTATGATAGGAACAAAGAGAATAATACGGCATGCTGTATACGGAATGATGGATCGGGTTGTGTTCAGTCCTCTAGAGCTGGCTGTTCAGTAAGAATTAATTTTATATTCCTTTCTCTAGTCTGGTTCATCTGTTTCACATTAGTAATGGGGTAATAGAGAATATGGAAGGGTGGAGTATAAGGTATAGGTGGGGTTAGAATACAGGGTATGGATGGGAATGAAGAATGGGTGCATAGAAGATATTGATAGGGATGGGGTCAGATGATACCATAAGGCATCGATTACAACATACATTTGTACTTCCATATGTTACCTCAGTTTGTATATACAATCTCAATTTCATATGAAATATATGTTGATGTATTTTTCAGGAAACACTGTCCACATTCAAAAAATGGGATAGCAGTGACATGGGATATCAAAATAGAGTGTCAGGCTCTGTCTGTGGGCAGGACCCAAAGTAAGATAAAATGTTCATTTTTCACAATTGGGTAGCTGTGACTGTATTTATAATACTATAGATATTGTACTGGTAACCCACTGTGATTTTACTGTATGCTTTTTAAAAGTAAATCCTCAAATTGATAAACGCATAAGCTAAAGCAAATTGATAATTTGAATTAACATTTATTGCCTATTTTGAGCATACTATATACTGATCAAATGTGTTTTTATTAACATCATTTGCAAAATTGATTTTTATTTTGGTTTATCACGCCTAATTATCTTAAGCTTGGGCAGTTTACTGCAAATTATCATAGTTCTATTTAAAATTTCAAACATATGAGTACATACCTCATGATTTGTGAAAGTGATTATTTAATCATACATGTTATGTATAGTATGTACATTCATGAGGCTTTTTTACGCTACATAGTTCACTTTATAATCATATTCTGGGAGCTTTTTATGGTACATGATCCATCTCTTTTTTCAGGTATTGTAAAGACCCGTCGTCAGTTCCACCATTTGCATGGGATGATGACATCACTACCTGGCCGGTAGGTCCAGATTATTTGTGTTTACCTCATTAGACATGTACAACAGAAACCTTTGCATTTTGACATTGCAAATATGTAATTATAAAAATGAATTAGTGATTAATTATTTCATATAGATGTTTGTATAGCATTTTGTTTGTACTGCTGTTTCCTCTTGAGAGGTACATGTGGCTCCTGTTTTTAGATGAATAAGATAAATATGGGGTGTCCCAAAAAAGTTCTACCCAAATGAAACGGGAATAACTATTTTTCTTTCATCTGCAAAAGCTGAACATTTCCTTTGATTTAGAGAATTAATTTTCAAATTAGCAGTTGAAAATTCCTAGAAATTTGTGTATTAAGAACTGAAATATTGGACATTTTATACAACGTGCGCCAAATTACCTCCATCGTGATCAATTGAAAAATGGGTGCTGTTACTAAACCTAGCTTTTCTCTTACATCAAAGAGAGAACCTGGTGAAACTTTCACATGTTCTGATAATTAAATTGTCTGTCAGCTAACCAAATTTCAAAAATATTCCTTCTTCACTCACAGTTATACACTAGTTTGTCTTGATACTATTTTTAGGACACCCTGTAAATAGATAAATATTCACAATTCACTTCATACATGTTTCAGATCTGTAAAGAAAAGCTGAATATGACAGTCTCTAAGGAGGACACTCACATGAGTTGTGAGGTAGTGGGCCACCCTTGTTGTACAGGAATACAGGGAGAGTGTTCTATAACAACTAGAGAGCATTGTGAATTCATGAAGGGTTACTTCCATGAGGAGGCATTTCTTTGTTCACAGGTAATTGATTTGGAAAACATTTTTTGAGGATGGCTCAAAAGTCCTGGACTACATAAAAGCCTTTTCGTTAACTGTTACTTAACTACCATACCTTATTATTGAAACATACTTTTTCAAATAATTGAAAAATATTGTACATTCACATTTTTCCACTTTTTAGTCATATGTTAGTCCGATTTGAACATAGTATTTCAAGTCCAATGCGTATAAGATTTCTGTTGCTGCTTGAACTTCTAGCAAATTCTTCTTAGTTGTGATAACAAAAATTGAAGTACGAGGGTTGATTCAAAAGTTTTCACCATTTGCTCTAGAAATCTTAATACTTCTATTAATATTGTTCATATTTGCCCTCAACCAAACCACATATTGCAGTTTCATTTTGTGTATTAAAATGTGTCATGTACCTTTCATGTATTACAATGTGTAATGTACAATTCATGTTTTACAATGGGTTACAGGTAAACTGTCTCAGTGAGATATGTGGCATGATAGCATTTGGTGACCCCAACAAGCCTGACCAGTTCTACAGACTCTGGACATCTTTGTTCCTTCACGCAGGGTGAGCATATTCTTCTTCACCAATTTATTTCAGTTTACAAATCTTAATAATTCAATACAAAAGGCAATGCTCAAATAGCATTTTGTAGTTAAATATTTATCGATCATGTCAAAGTGACATAAACTTATCAGTATTGCATTTACACTGATCTGATTTCTCTTACAGGTTATTTCATCTCGTACTTTCAATATTGTTCCAAATCTTCATAATGCGAGACATGGAAAAAATGGCTGGCTGTATCAGGATAGCGATCATTTACACGCTGAGTGGTATTGCGGGAAACCTAGCAAGTGCCATCTTTCTTCCATACCAAGTAGAGGTAAGAAATGTTTTTCTTTAACATGTTTAAGAGTCGGTGGGGCATTGTTGGTGAGGAGTGATAAATGAATCCGGGTCCTCCAAGTACAGGGCTACCAAGTCCAGACATGATCCACTCTTGAAGGGAGGAATAGAATGGATTATGTCTGGACCTTTGTGTTCAGAGAATGAAGAATCAGATATGTATAGCTTTCATGCAGACAAAATTATATTCATTGACATCTAATCCTGACAGTCAGTTGGTTTGCATGATATGCTTGTGTAAACACAATTTTAGGCAACAAATCAAATACATCCTGACCATGCCTTATATAGTAATTTTGAAAATGAAAATCGACAAACTTCTCTTCATTGTAAGATATCATTGCATGCATTTTTCAAAATATATGACTTTGAGCAATGAATCACACAGTTCTCATGGTAACACTGTAAATGTACTGTAAATACTCCCAATTAGCAGGAACATCATCTAGGGATCTCCACTAAAAGATAATGTCACTTATGAATATAATGTAATAACTTGATAGTAGTTTAGAAGATAGTAGCATTTCTGTTCATACAAAATGTACCTTTCTGTTTGTAAAGATGGCAGTACTTAGTAACAGTATACCAAGCTGACATTTCTAGATTTCCCTAGAATAATGCCCAACAATAATGTGGTAGTGTTCTGACTGTTTTTTGAGCAACTTCTTATGATGAATTCAAATGTCAGCATGAAGAAAAAAATCTTCAAAACACTTTCAACACAAAATGTCTGCCACATATACAAAAGTTATTTATAAAAATCTTCCTGTCTTCATGTTAGAGGCCAAAAAAGTTATTTTATGTTTTTAGACTAAGAATCCTCTCTTATTTAAAGAGTGAAGACAAGGTGGACCTCTTTTGAAGGGTTGGTAATATGATAAATGTATGTCAATTTTTGTCGTTCCAGGCTGGCCCTGCAGGCTCTCAGTTTGCCATTCTGACTGGCCTCTATGTGGAAGTGATTCAAAGCTGGCAGATCTTATCCAGACCCTGGATGGCCATCGGCAAATTGATAGCATTCACGGTGGTGCTATTTTTGCTCGGTTTTCTCCCCTGGATTGACAATTACTCACATTTAGTAGGATTTGTGTTCGGTTTCCTGTTATCATTTGCGCTATTTCCATATATAAGCTTCGGAGAGTTCGATCGCAAGCGTAAATTGATAAGTATTATTGTGTGTTTAGTGGCGGCTGTTGGACTATTAGTAGTGTTATTTATATTATTTTATGTTGCGCCTATATATGAATGTACCTGGTGCCAATACTTCAACTGCATTCCGTTTACACCTAAGTTCTGTAAAAATATGGAAATCAATATCAGGAGAACTACTGAATTGTAGAATATGTTAACGACTGTGGATAAGGAGAAAGGATGTTGATCATGAAAGCAGCTGTTGGTTTCAAAAGAAAGCAGCTGTAGATTAAGAGTACAGATGTTGATCATGCTATGGATTCGTATCGGTTTCTTGGAGTTCATTTAAGCAATATTATTTTATTATAGAAATAAACTAAAGGGATTTGAGATAGCCTCATTATATGAAAATTGTGAACATATCTTCGATTCAGTATTCAATATGATTAATTTTATCATCATATTGATTTAGATTAAAATGACATTGTCACATTCATTGTAAATATCATTTATGTATATATTGTAGAACAGGATAGTTATTGTTGTTATGGTGTTTTATCACTCATATATTGTAGTTATTTTGTACTAAATGTTATCTATATTTAACTATACATGTATGGGTACTATACATGTATGTGTACTGTACATGTATGTGTACTATACATGTATTGTGTTATGTACATGTATGTGTACTGTATATCTATGTCTACTGTACATGTCTATACAATTGAGTGGCTTGTTGTAGATCTGAATCTGGGTATGCAAATTAAAGTTTAGCTCAGAAATGATTCCATATTTATGGTGTATTTTCTATACTATTGAGTGGGCAGTGTAGTTTGGTCTAGAAATAGCTAAAATTACTGAATAAGTCAAACATGGCTCAGAATTGCATTACGTAATTTTTAAAGGTAAATCAAAACATGGTTTTTCAAGAGGGTTGAATGTTACACATTCAGAATAAGTTCCTCAGTGTAAATAAAATTAATATTCTATGGGGCCTGAGGATGTTAGTCGATAATCAACTTATTATATCAAATTATATATCTGTAACTAACGAGTCAGAAAATGAAATTAAACCACCGTATTCTCTCTAATGAGTGCAGAGAGTGCAAATGCGATTTTTATGTTGAATATGGTCTCAAGAAAACACAAAGTTAAACGCATTAGTTTCAATTTTAAACACAAGATATTGATTGATAATTATTTTTAATGCAGAGAAAGAAATGCAGGAGTTGTAAAGATAAAGAAGGTGAACCTTAGTGATAATAACTAAAATATTATCATGGATATTTTTTCCTAAATTTTTTGTATGTCCCCTGTGTGTTCATTAGAGAGAATATGGAATGAGAAAATGCTTTGTAAGTAGAGAATTGATAACCTTTTATAATCTATAGTTTTTTTAAAATAAAATATTGTATGTTTTAAAATACATGCATGTGTGTGTTATATGTATAGTTATGAAAATCATGTGAAAAAATTATATTTGAAATTCATATTTATATATTTCATTGGATATTTTTTATTGAAAGTTGTGACAATTTTGTATATGTAGATTTGAAAGAGTTGAAAACTCATGTATTATTAGAATGCGCTGCTTATACTCATCTTCGTTCTATCGACTCCCATCAGTCGGGGGAAGACCAAGCTTGCGAAGATGCTGCTTACTTGCCTATGCTATTATGAATGCAGTAGAATTAATCAAAACGGATTGTTATTAACTTGATATGAACAATTTGCTTTTATACATGTTATTGTATAAATGGTTATACTAGAGACCCTTTTTCAAAAATATTGTAAATTAGGATTCCCGTAATGCGTTGTCTTTCACAGTGTTACCATGGTAACAGTGTCAATAGTCTTGCATTGAGTAGGTACCCCCCCCATTTCCTATCTAATACTAGGGGATGAGAGGGGCTTGGTGCAACATTGTGTAAGACAATTTAATCATGTGAGTTGTTATTTGCAGTATTTTCCAGAAACAGGTTAATTAGTGTTATTAAGAATATGTTATTTGTAAATTTAAAATTTTGAAATGTAAAATTATTTGCATAAATTATGTTATATTATGTACAGACAGAAAAGAGATCATTTTGAAAAGAGATTATTTATAGATAGTAAATTACATTTTATAAGATGAGTCACAATGGAAAAAATGCATGCACTGTTAAGTAGATGATTTATTGAATTATGTAAAAAGTCACAATCAACATATCTGCATTTTGCTTCTAAAGACTCAAGTTCATAAATAACCTGAATATACATGTATGTTTACCCTAATAGTATGGGCTTGTCAACTTTATTCTTCATTTTTCTACCGTCGTTTGTGGAAATTATCACATACATAAAAAGTCCCTTTAAAAAGTGTAAAGTGTTTGTTGCATGTGATTCCAAGTATTAGACGAGACATGAGTAGAAATAATCTTGATTTACATCATTAAAAATTCCAAATTCAGTCAAAAAGATATCATATTTGAAATGTGCATGTGAAATTACATCAAGACATGTGGTTTTTAAAAGTGTTTATCTACTTTGAAAATTCAATTTTCTTTGAAAATGTGACTTCTAGGTCAGGAAGATCCTCATAGACAATGTGTTATAAAATCGCAAAAAGTGAAATATCTTTTCTTTTATTGGACAGATAATATTTCTTTTACTGGACATTTTTTAATTTGTATAACTATCAGATACATTAGGTTGATATGAAAATTGAACCACAAAAACTGATGTTTAAGTTGAAAGGGAACTTTCTAATACCCTGCCAAGTTTTCTACCCCGAATTAGCCACCTGGTGGTGAAAATAGTAACTACTTACTCGCATCTGGGTAATTTCAGTGTATATTTAGAAGGTGTTGGCTGAAGACATTGCCTTCTGTCAAAATACTTTATTCATTGTTTTGTACACTTTGGAGGTTGGCATTTTTGATTTAAGATGGTTTTAATTTCTTGTATCTTGGTATTTATTTTAGCCATTGTATGCTTTTTTCATTTAGTGCAGTCATTTACATCCATCAAATCAATCAACAGTGAGAGTTTCATTTACAGGGGGAAGTTGGGAAAGTCAAATTATTCAATTAGTTAATTGATAGATATTAATTTGTTGACCTGACCCCTAACACAAGTTTTTGTAAATATATCATATCATTTATAAGTGCCATCATTCTACATACCACGTTAACTTGATTTGTTGAAATATGTCCTCGTGCACAAAATTAATTACATGCCCTGATGATACTCCAAGTTCTATTTCCTAGTCTTAAACGATAAAATTGCAATGTCCAATCAAACATGTCCTTTACCTTTTGTGTTGTTGTCAGGGCTTGAGCTAATGGCCCGTCCACTGGTCATTGCAAGGTCATTTTTGATTCGAACCTGTTGATTTTTTCAGTATGTATAGGAAGATAACATGGCAACTGGTCCATAATGCCATTTTGACCAGCTGCTCCCAGAACCTTAGCTCAACCCCCAACCCCTGGTAGTTGTATGTTTGGCAACTACCTCCCGCATTAGTTCTGCATTTTGAGATTATCTCTAATTTCTGACCTATTTACATTTGAAATGAATATGTATTCCATTGCCAAATGATAAATCTAGGATGTAAAAATTATTTCATGAAAACATAGCTGGTTATATCTTAACCAACAATATTATATTATTTTATAAAGCATGTGTATGTATTACTAGTACTACATACAGTTTAGTATCAAAAATCATTTACAGTATTTAGACGGCATTTTTATTCGGACACCATGATAATCAGTACCCATAGGGTATATCATGCTCAAGATATGATATAACAATACAAGATATATTGCAATGGTTAAATGTGTATTGTATCAAAATAAAATTGCTGGAGCTTCATCTACTTGAACCTGTTTATTGTATTCCTTTTTTTTGTTTGGTCAAATTTCTTATCCATTTTAACCTCAACAAAATATGTACTGTTGGCTCACATGGCGAGATTATGTGATCCATTAGCGCGTCAACATTGGCGGCGATTTTAACATCAAAATATAACATTTTCAGTTACTATGTATAGACAGTTGGGCATAAAGAAAAAAAAAATCTCATAGTCATATGAATAACGGCTTTTGACATTTACTCATGGAATCTGAACAAAAGGTGGGACTTTGTTTTTTCCTCTACATGGTTAATGTGGTAAAAAAATGACTGGGCAAGTGCAGGGACCATGGGTCCTTTTATTTATTTATATTTTGTATACTGTTATAAATATAATGTGATATCTAAATGTAATTGTGATTGAAATGTACAGACTGGATGACTTTATGTTTTAAATAAAAGGAAAACATGAAATATAGAAAAAGTTTATTTGTGCATATTTCACTGAAACTTCCAGGAGCACAACTTTATTCACTTCAATAGTTGTTGTGTGTTAGACTCTGCACCCCCCCCCCCCCCATCTACTTCTCTCCAGGTGGGTTGATTCAGAGGGAGGGGCACAAGAGTTTCGCAAGACTGGTCATAGGCTCCTAACGCAGAAGTCCTGAGACTAAACCAACAATACTCCCAAAATAAAATTCCTGGATGTAAAATACCATAGATGGCAGTCATAGTTAATACCAAATCAGACTAGAGAGGTTTTATCACATTGATTTTTGCCAATTATTAATTTTTATGAGACTCAATAAAACAATACATATTCCCCTATACTTATGATTCTATAAAATATGAAAATTCCAATATGTTTCTCCAGCACACACTTGAAGAAATGGGAGGTGAAAACTGGTAAAGTGTGTCCCGCCTGATTTCACAGTTAAACTGTGGAGTCACGAAAATGTGAAAAGAGGTCTTCAGGTGTTCACTACAGAGAGGTGTTCGTTAAGACAGGTTTTACTATACATTATGCTTTGCTTTTTCAGTCAGTCTTTCAAAACTCAAATGGTATCATTTGCATTGAAAGATTAAAGATTAACGGAGCTAAATCCTTTGTATTTGTATCACGCATAGTTAATAATAAGCATTATTTATCAAATTTCAGCCAATCAGACACTGTCAGAACACATCATTCAGGGGCGGATCTGGGAACCAACAAGGGGGGGGGGCCCAAAATGCTTGTCTGAGAAAAAAATTTTGGGCCCCAAAAACCCAAAAGTGGGCCCAAATTTTGAAATTTTGAGGCCCATTTTCTTCAAAATTTGGCCTAAATTAAAAAACAATGCCTTAGAAGTCCAATTTACTTTTTTGGCTCAAATTTTTTTTTGAGCACAATTTTTTTTTTCTGGGCCCACCCAAGGGGGGGGGCGGGCCCCTGCCCCCCCCCCCCCCCCCAGATCCGCCAGTGTCATTTGGAATTATAATGGATTATAGATTTTGCAATGAGTAAATAGCTATTTCTAGATTCACTGAAATTGTTTAGTCTAGCCTCATCAATTTCATGATTTTAAGTTTAACAGTTGAGTGAAAAACATAAATAGTGAACTATGAATAGCAGGTCCTTATGCAGGTGAAAGTGTCTAAAGACAAAACCCTTCCAAAGAAGTTTCCTGGCATTCTTTTTTGTGATGTACAAAATATTTTGCAATGTGTGAAAAGAATAAACAAATGACAAAAAAATAGACCCTCTCTGGTACATTCTGAGCATATCTGAGAGCCATTTTTGCATCATTAAATACAAATCTAAAAAAGATTGGGGAAAGGGGAGAACGCTTGAGCCCGCGCTTGGGTTATGGACTTGCAAAGGTGTGACATTTCTTACCGCGGTTCGTAGTACAAGTGTTTATGTCACGTGATAGAGGTCATTGGGTCACCTTATTGGACTAGTTCAACATAAGCCAAACATGTAGGGGTGTCAGGGCAGAACAGATATTGTACAGATAAATCTTGAAAAGTCTTCGAAACCGAGTTATGATTGTCATCTGTACACCAGGCCATTTATATTTCCAAATGAAAGCAGTTTATTGTCAAAAATGCAAAAGTGCGATGGAAGGTGTCTTCTGCGCATGCGCCAAGTATCGACGGCCATCTTTGTGAAAGCTACCGAAATTTGCTCCTTTGAATAGGGCAAATAACAATCTCTGATGGGCAACAAATCACTGTAAGTAGACACCATTCAATTAGATATTGTCTTCTTTACGGGCTCACCAAATTTTATAAATATCGTACTCTTCCTTCATGGTATATGGGACGACAATGCTAACATCACAAAAGCAATTTTCGCGAAAATGAACGCCTCTACTTTTCCCATTATTTGGGATATTAGCAAAGAGATGCGAGAAATTGTGACTGAACAAACATTAAAAGCATCGTTTGCTATCCTCTGATGTAGAATTCAAGATATAAGACTAATTTGAAGCATTTTTTGAATCTTTTGTTTTTGAGATTTTCCCCAATATAAGTCACGTGACCAGTTAAAGGGCAAATTATTCATTTTGGGCCCCACTTATCTGCCCCATGCCATTAGAATTTGCACTTTTGATATGGACATTTTATTGATAATATTCCAAATTTATAGTTTACCTGTCAATTCACCGTTTGGAGAAGGCATGTATTGTGTTTTCCTAGCCCCAGTCCAGTCTAGGTGTCTTGTGCTAAACATGCTGAAGAGTTCACTCCATATGTAAAGACGAGCAGCCATATAATAACTCTCGAAGTGTGTGTGCAATTCCAACTCTGTATCATTTTTTCGATGTGTAGAACTTGCTACCCCAGGCATCGTATACCTTTCTGGCAAATATGCCCTTATAAAATTATTCTTTGTATTTTATTGTAAGGCTATAGTGTAAATAAATTAACCATGAACATTGTAAGTTAGGAAATACGTTTTAAAAGCTACTTTAGTTTTGTGCATCTATATTGGATAATTGGTGGGAGTGATCAGAGATTTAGTATTTCAATGTCATATATTCCCAAAAATAAGAGTAAATTGGTTGCCAGATTTAATTTTAGAAATTTTTGTAACATGACGATTTTTTATACTCATCTTGAAGGAAAAATTAGCCTTACAAATGTTTTAACATGTTGAAAATAGTAAGTTAATACATTTCAGAAATTTCACTGGAACTGTGTATTGGCCTGCCTAGTTCATGTAGTTGAAAATAATCAGATCCAGCTGTTTTCACCAAATTAAGTCTGACAAAAAGCACGAATAATTTATCAATTTGTATTGGTAAGACATCCTACAGTTAGAGAAGCTGAATATCTTTATCTAGTCATAGGGAACATTGAATGATCCATATTTAAGTGCAATAGGCGACACAAAATATTAGAAATTAGGAAATATTTTGTTTTTTGTTATTCATTATTATACAGATCTTTTTAAAATGTAAAACAAAAGTTGTTGACCTAACCACATGATCTTAATTCCATATTTTATCAAATTGAATTTTTGTCGAAAAAATTCTCTAATCACTCAATTTATTTGAAAGGCACTCAAGCACAAACCTTATGTTATATAATATAGATTTGTCTTCATCATCATCTCCAAACTCGCAATAAAAACCCTAATTGAGGGTCAGGGATTTAAAAAAACAAATTAATCATGATCGCAATAATTTGGAAATATTAGAAAAGCATGGAGCAGTCCCTAAAAACTTATTGTTAATGATATAAAAGACAAAACAAATCGAAGGCTTTTCAAAAGTCTAAAAGTAATATGCTGGTTTTGGGAATATTTAAAACCATTGACAATTGGTATTTAATTAGCACGATTTTTTCATATTGAAGTATTTATATTAGTCATTTCAGTGCAAATCTATTATAAATTTAATATTCTCTGAAAATGAATAACTGGTAAATGATGATTTAGAAATTGAAGAAGGTGAGATCGAAGTGTTTACTGAAATTAAAAAATGCTGCCTAATAAATTTATATAATAATTTCTTAAGTAGCTTTAATTTTGCATATTTAGCCATCCATTTTGTGAAGCAGCTATCACTTTGACCTAAAAATCTAGGGTGGTTGAAAGCAAAATGGCGGCAGCTGAATGCTTAAAGCTTATTGGCTAAATATAGATTTATGCATGGATATTAAGTGTGTACTATACTGACATATGGGAGCAGTAGACTACAGTACACAGTCCGTCTCACAATATAATCAATAGTAGATCACATGACCACATACTTTAATATATACTTGTAGTGGAATATCAAAACCCTTTGTTCAAAACAGTATATGAGTAAGAGTTGTGTATGTATATAAGATATTACGTATCAATCAGAACCTCTTGTAAAAACAGAATCTTTTTTAAATATATTTTTTATGGATTTAATATTAGAGATCTACTTTGTTGTTTGTTCTTAATACACAGTTGTCCTTTAAACTTCTTACATGATTTCCTAATACAAATACTGTATAACTTTTCTCTGTCATTGATTCATCGAGTTTACAACTTATTCTAGGACCTAGGTGATATGATTTACGACAATTGCAACGTGAATATAAGAATTTATATTATTATTGAAATATTACACAAAATTAAACATTTTATTATTTAGATTCAACTAAACGATATTTGATTTTATTCCAATTATTTTTGAACGACCTTCAACCTTCAGTTTAATCATGCTCCATAGACCCCATGGGCTTTAGTACTAGAACTCAGTAAGCATGACCTCGTTAGATTACAACATTCAGTGCTTTGTTCCGTATCATATTGCCTGAACTGTACTACAAATTAGTCTACAATAAATCAATAATGAGTATATTATTTCTTTATTTTTTTATTCCAAAGGTTATGTAAAAAGTAATGAATTAATCAAAATGTGTTTCCTTGTGACATGAAAATGTCAGAATAGATTAGTACATTATGGTGCACAGTGTTTGTTTATTCTCCACTTCTCACGCTCAGTGACCCAAGAAATAACTATAAAATCATTATTTAATTGCAAAAAGTCTAAGGGAGTCATGAAAAGAGGGACAATGTAATAGAATTCCTATTTTTATCTAAATTCCGGATCTTGAGCATGTTAATAAAAGTAGGTCACAGTGTCTGTATGGTTCTCTCAATGTGTCTGTGTCATGTAAATATGACTATTAGATAAAAACTAAATCTATAATTCATTACTAAACATACCAGGCATTACTCTATTGTATTTAAGTTATTGTTTGTACCTTAATTAAATCATCAAATAAAAGCAAAGCACTGCATTTGCAAGATAGCTTTCATAATACAACAAAAACAAAATGGCCGACTTTTAACATAAGTAAGGCAGGATATTCATTTTGAGATGGTCCCCTCTTCTTTAGGCGGCCATTTTGTATTTGTGATTAGGGTATGAAGAGACATCTATCATGCAATTTCCAGTCATTATTTTTGGATTATTTTTTAAGTTTGATTTTTTAATATTAGTATGATCAAATCATCAATAATCCCTTGCAAAAAGTGTGTCAAATTTTATTTTTCAATTTTAACGAAAAAATGAAAATCACTCGTCTGAATAAGTAACTCCATTGCTGAACTATATTTGTCACAAAAATGTTAATTAAGTTGCAAATTTAATGTCAATGTGATAAAATAAGTAATGGTCTTCATATACAGTGTCTATTATTCTGATTACTGATTTCTTTATTCATTTTTTCAGAAGTGATTTCAACATCAATACTCTGAACTGCAGAATCATTTAAAAAAATCGAATTATTTGAAAGTCTACTTATATCCAAAAGCAAGTGCCTTTAAGCTGGAGTATAAATCATTGTGGGATATTTAAAAAATTGTGTATGTTTAACAGTTTGAATGTTAAATGACAGCATATGTAAATTGTTCATCTATTTTTCTGTTTTTGGTGGCTAAATAATGGGTGATTTAATAAGTAAATTCATTTCATTCAATCTGAGGATTTGATCATGAACTACACAGATTGCATTTTACTAAAGAATATTGATCTTTACCCAAAAGGATTTTGCTAATTAATCATATTTTAATATAAAATAATCTAGCAACGTTTCGATATTAGTCAAATATTTTCAAAAATATTCTTTTCATGACCTTTAAATTTTTTCAAATTTGGGGCACATTGTAGTCAACTCTTGGGCATTTTAGAATGGTAACTCCCCTAACAAGTGAATAATAAACTCTTCCAATAAAGTGAGGTCAACATGTTCCTTACATTCTCACAGTTCAATCTTTCTATCAACATTCTACGCACTTAACATATGTTACAGTCCCAGTATGCTATTTTTGTTCTTTTTAAATAATATTTAGGCCTATTTGGATTACGTTGGCTTATAATTGCTTGTATGGAACGTAATATTGTTTATTCGGCTTCTGACCTCATTAGCATATTCATTTCAGTCATCTACATAGGAATATTTGTCTTTTTTGTTTTATAGATGGCAGCTGTAGACAATAAATTTCAGTTTGTGAAACAAGTAGCAAAGAAATCAACTAGCAAGCCACCTGTATGCCTCAACAGTGGGGACTCAAATAATGGATTATCAACCCTTACTTACAACAGCCTTAATGGGAGTTCTAGGAATGAGGACCATTTAAGGACTATGTCATCCACAGGCGAAGACAGTGAAGACGATATGGAAGAAATCGACAACAGGATAATTCCTGAAGAAGAAACTGAGACAATGAGTATAAATGGAACAGATTCTGTGTCCAATCAAGCAAATTCTTCAGATTCAAACTCTCACCAAATGAAGCGTGTAAAAGCAACAGCAAGAAAGTCAATGAAACCTTCAGCGACAGCTCAACAACAAATAGCCGACATAGAAAAAAGACAGGCAGATATGCTGGCCATTGCACAGAATGGAAATGATTCAAGCCAAGCTAGTGAATTGAATAATACAGACACAAATGACACAAAGGAGTCTAATGGTATAACCAACAACACAAATACAAATACAGTCAGTTCGGACAACATTGATGATTCAAATAATAGCAGTTCCAAAAGTGCACAAAATGACCCCAAGTTTAAAATATTAGGAAAAATAAGGACATCTTTTAAGGGTATTTTAAATACAATAACTAAACCAGAGGTTAGTTCAACTAACTCAGATGACACTACAAATGACTTAGATAATGAGCCCCCTGCCAAAAAACTTGCTATATTTGAACAAGAGGAAGTGGCTCATGCACCAGAAAAGTCATCTTCATTAGACAGCTGTGATAAAGAAGTCCAACGTACACTTGCAGGAGGTTTGTATTATTATATGCATTTAAAAAGACAAAGACACACTATTTTGGATTTAAAATACTAATCTGTGCCATTCACTGCCTATGAACAGAGAATAATTTGAACATGTTTGGTTAATTAATTAATCACAAAATAATTTCTTTATCAAATTTGATATCTTTTATTCCAGCATTTGAAGAAGACCCAGACTCCAACAGTACATCTCAGGATAACTATTCTGCTAATGATAGTAGCACAAACGATGTCCGTAGCACAACTAATGAACTTCCAAGCATAACTAATGAGGTCCCTAATCTAAATAATGGTAGCTGGGATAAGCTGGGTGCTGATAGTGACAGTGAGATAAATCCAATTGAAGTTGTTGATGAAACTCAAGAATTTATAGAAGATATTAATGATACTCTTAGTGCAAATCAAACCGACACTGATAAGAAAGATGAAGATCCTCTAGGGGGAGCAACCCAAGAACTTATTAAGGATATAACTGAAGCGTTCAAATCTAATCAAACTGAATCAGATGGAAGTGTTAAGATAAATGATATGAATTCTTCAGACACTAACAACACAGAGGATGACCTTCTACTGGGTGATAATGAAAATGATGAATTAAATGACAAGCCAACTGAAGATGACGATGCTCTGTTAGACCAAGAAGATGAGGCTAAAAGTGAAAACATTAAGTCACACCAAAGTGCTAGTAATTTATCAGAGGACGAAGCAGTCAGAGAAAGCATGGAGCGTAGTGTTGAAGAAAAAGTAGGTGTACACAATGCTGTTGAGGAAATTAATGATGAAGATCTGGACAATATGGGGGAGGATGACATCATGGGTGATATTGAATGTGAAGCAGAAGTTGATGATGATGGGGATGAATTCATGGATGCGTTGACTGGATTACAGGAAGATGAACAAGACAAAGTCAGTAATTTGGATGATTGTAATTCTGAAACAGGAGAAAATAATATTGAAGCAAAACTTGGCTCTGAAAAACCTATCATCAGTGAAGCTCTGGAAGAGTTATCCCAGTCTGAAATGCAAGTTGAAAGTAATGAAGTCTTATCTAAAACTGTTGAGTCACCATCTGATATTGTTGAGTCATCATCCGAAACTGCAGTCTCTTTTCCTAAGAATATTGAGTCACCATCTGAAATTATAGATTCACAATCAGAAAATAGTAGTAAGTCACTATCTGAAACTCTGGAGTTAGCAGCTAAGAATGTTAAGTCACCAACTGAAATTATAGATTCACAATCAGAAAATAGTAGTAAGTCACTATCTGAAACTCTGGAGTTAGCAGCTAAGAATGTTGAGTCACCATCTGAAATTATTGAGTCACAATTAGAAAATAGTAGTAAGTCACTATCTGAAACTCTGGGCTTACCAGCTCAGAATATGGAGCCATCCTCATTAGATTCACCTATCAATATGGAGTCATCAATTGAGAATACTAAGTCACCAACTGAAGTTGAACTGCCAGGTGATATGAAACAAGACTCTGAAGTCAAAGACAATGAATCTAGTGAGCCCAATGATGTTTGTCCAAAGAATGTTGATGACGATGACATTGAGATGACTGATGTGGTCCAAAATGTTTCAAGAGACAGTATCAATAAAATTATTGAAATGAATATTCCAGCCAAGGGTGACAGGGATGGTGAAAATGACAACTCATCCAGTACACTCACTGATAATGGATTAGGGGAAAATGTGGAAGATTTGGAAACAAAGGATAGCACCAATATACCTACTAGTGATGATAAACCCATGGTTGACAATGGGACAGATGGTACTGATGTAAAACCTGATGAAAAAATACCACAAAGTTCCACTCCTGAAAATGAGATTAGTACAGAAAAGGACACTAAAGATGTCAAATTAGATGTAAAAGAAGAGCCCGACCAAAAAGCATCAGTTGACCTGGAAAGGACTAGTGAATCGGATAAATGCAAAACTGAGGAAAAAACTGATGACATATTGGATATTAAACCTAAAGAAATATCTGATGTAGTAGTTAATAGGAAACGCCCACCATCTTCACCTAATAAATCCATGATGGCAAAAAAATCCTGCTTGGAATCCATCATTAACAGGCTTGGGTCCCAGATTGGTGTCCCACCTACAGAAGTGCAGCCTGATGATGAAGATGATGCAGAATCATCTGAGACATCTGATAGTAACAGCACAACAGGTAGCGAGAACTCAGAGGAGGACTCAGAAAAGAAACTCAAGTCAAAATCAATTAATAAAAAGGTAAGATTATGCTAAAATGGCATATACCACAATGTATGCTGTCTGTGAACATTTCAATATCCACAGATCATTTAATGGTCAGTGGATTTTGGGGATGGGATGGCAATAAAATAAGGCGAAACCAAGGAACAACCTTGGCAATTGAAAGTAACAGACCACTTTCTAGCAAAATCCATTTGTAAATTCATGATCAAGGTGATCCAATCTACTATACCTAACCCCTAGAAATGCATAAGATACTCTGTTTGTCTAATTGCATTGTTTAGTATATTTTTGAAAGTACCTTATTATTAACATCTAACTTTCAACCAATAAACCATTAATAAGGAACAGACAAATAAAATCAAATAACATAATTATTACTAATAAGCCAAATGGGTTGCTCATGAACACCAAATGCAGGGTATGGTAGAGTGTGATCACAAGACAATGTGAGACTCACTGTAAATATTTTACATTATGATTAAGCAATAAATAATAAAACATCTACCTTCCAGAAGTACCATGAGATGGTGATGCATATGGCCAGTATGTATGTGAAGCAGCAGACAGAAAGCCTCCAAAAGAGAGTCAAAGAGCTGGAGGCCAGTAATGAAGCATGGAAGGCCCAAGCACAGGAGATGTCTGCACAAATAATGGACCTGACCACTCAACAATCAAGATATGAACGCAGGAGACAGCCAACCAGGACATGCAATGTAAGTGTGAACAATATAGTCCATCGGTCATTTAACAGGCCATTGCAAATCAGAGTATCTGATTGGCTGGTTTCATTTTAAATTTACATAGTTAAGAGGTTGAGATTGTGCTTGTATCGAACTTTGCAATCGCAATCAACTCCTCCTGAGCAAATCCCATATTTTCAAGACACTGATTATAAATAAATGGGCAAGTCAGTATTGATAAAATCTTGAACTTAATGTCATTATTTGTCTCTTGATTATAAGAATCATCATTTTTATTATTATTATCAGTAATTTTATCTCTGTTTTCCATTATCCCTAATCTAAAGAAAATTAATTCATAGAGTTTTTAGGTCGAGGATTGTGTGTTGGAATGACGAGTGCAATATTTTAAACTCTGTGTTCTTGTTTGTTTTCCCAGCCTGATATTTAATTATTCATCCCACAATTTCCAGCTGTTATATGTATGATATACAATTACATTAACAATGATTTTGTTTCCAGGCAACAAGGAATGTTGCAGTACAAGTTGATGGTGGCAAGGTACAGTAGTGACATCTTTCTAATACAATTCTACTAATATTCAACTACTGTACAAATAAAGACTTTCATTGAATATTTCTCAGAGCATATAATTTATAAATTCAATGTTTTACAAAAGTTCTATCACTACTTAAATTGACAATTGAATAAAAAAAATCACAAATTCAGATATCAACACATTGATTATTAACAGCATATTACAATTGCCTTCAGTGTTTTCCCCAAAATGTTACCTCAAATGTGCACAAGATTCATATTTTCACTATTCTGCCCAAAAAGGTCAACATATGTCAAATTTTATGATTTTATCATTTTCAATTGAGTTTTTGGGTGGTTACAAAATTTTATGTGGGTAAAGTGCCCACTTGCTTCAATGTCCCAGAGATAAATGATTCTGGAGATGCCTGATTCTTATATATTCCCCCAAAAGAATTTCAACTGGGTGCACAAGTAGGGGGGGGGGGGCTGTAAAAGTGACATGGAGAGATCACTGATATTGTATTTTATTGCATTTACCTGATGTTTTTAAAATTTGTCATATTTTGTATTTAAAGGTTGCCCAGATTATCGAAATGGCTAACAATATATCACCTCGTCGAACTCAACCAGGTGCTCAGAGTCCTAAGGCATCAGGTGTGACTGTCAAGGCATACCAGGTACTTAATAGGCTTATTTAATATTTTATTTATTTTATGTCACCACCAAAAGTAATGATATATTGCGATTGTCTCCAACTTTTATGTGGCAGCAGTTAGTGTTTAGCGGTTGGCATTCAGCATCTGTAACAAATGGCAGGTGGTGACATTTTGCATGTTAATGCCTTGTTTGGATATAATGTTTCTCATATAAAATGTTCTATCATTGAATATAACTGATTTTGAACTCTCCTATGATCCTATCCCTTTTTGGAAAGTTTCATAAATATTCAATACAGTATTTAACAGGTTATTCATTTTACTTTCAAAATTAATTGTATTGATAATCAGTTGTTTGTATGGTTTTAGGTTGAGCATTTTATTGGTTCCATTGTTATTCCTTGGTTCCTTTAGCTACCCTATAGTAAAGTATAAAAGGATTTTGAAATACTTTTGGATTGTTTTCCATTATTGCCTTGAATTAATTATTGATGTTTAATATCATATTTCAGTTGGCTTCTGCTCCCCAACAGACATTGACCCAAACTGCCAACGGAGCCAACAATAAAGGACTTCTATCTCTGAATAGCATGAAACCAGTAGCAGGGACTAACAAACACTCCACTGTTCGGTCTATGTTGGGTGGGCAAACTGTCCACCTCCAGACTGTACCTGGCAATCTCTCCACCCTACAGGCTGTCCCCTCATCCGCCTCAACTTCGACTACATCATCTGTATCAAAAGTTAAGGTTATAGATTTAACAGAGGAGGGAAATAAGAACAAGGTGGCAGGGCTGTCTGTATTGAAACCTGGCTCCCAAATTGTAGGCTTACCTATAAACTCAAATATGATTCTACAGAATAGTAACAAACCAATCTATCTTCAAGCCTTAAACCCAGGTCAGATACGACCGAATATGAACATAGTGTATCAGGCGCCATCTAATGTTGTTCTTCCACCTGGGGCATCTATTCAGGGTCTTGTATCTACAGCTAGCACACAGTCATCTTTGATACGCACAGCAATGACCAGTAATCAGACCACTGTAAGCACTGTTACCACCCCTCGGCCACCTCCACCCCTCACTCGACCCCCACCACCTCTACAGAGTGCGCCAAATAAGGTGGTAAACACACAGGTGAGTCATAAATAAATGCATAAAACATCAGACAATATTTGATTGGCTAAGTTGGATGGATTGATATTCAGTAAACACTAAATTCTCTTTTTTTAATGACAAGATTATAGATAAAAAGAACTTCTTTGGTAATTCATACTAGCCTTATGAAAGAGAAAAAAAAGACTTCTAGTGATATCATGTTTTTCCAATTCTGAATTTTACTACAAAAGCTACTCTTTGATCAACACAAATTAAATATGCATTAAGATACATTTAGTTTATTCTCTCAAAAACGATAGAATTTAAATATGTCAAACACTTTTAGATTGAATACTATAACGTTCTAATATGAAACTTTTTCATTGGGTGAGCTAGAAAAGTTTTGAATGTAAAGAGTCTTGGTACAGTCACCCGGCACAGAGAGAAACTGTAATTCATAGCCTGAGAATGAGAGAGAGACAGCTAGCTTCCCAATTAGAACTTCTCAAATGGGTAGACAGTCAATTGATAATATATTTGTTCATTTGTTTGTTGTATTACCTGTTTGAAAGCATTTAAGTTTATTTTGACTTGTTATGTCACCACCAAAAAGTGGTGACATATTGTTATGGTCTCCATTTTTTTGGGACAGCGGTTGGCGATCGGTGGTTGGTGATCAGCGTCTGTAACAAATTCTTACAACTGGCATTAACTTAACAAATACTGTTTAAACTGACTTCAAATTTTTCTCAAAATCATCTACAAGTTTTCAGAAGTTCAAATCTGACTTTAGATTTGACCTTCAATGATCTCACAAGGTCAAAAATTGGTCTAAAAGGTCTTTTTTCAATTTGCTTCAAATTGACCAATTTTTCAAAATCATCCACAAGTTCTCAAAAGTTCAAATCTGACTGTAGATTTGACCTTGAATGACATTCTCAAGGTCAAAAAATATTTGACCTTTAATGACCTTCTCAAGGTCAAAAAGGTATTTTTCATCTTGCTTCAAGTTGACCAATTTTTTTTCAAAATCAATTACAAGTTCTCAGAAGTTCAAATCTGACTCTAGATTTGGATTTCACCTTCAATGACCTTCTCGGGTCAAAAAAGGTCTTTTTTCAACTTGCTTTAAATTGACCAATTAAAATCATCTACAAGTTCTCAGAAATTCAAATCTGACTTAGATTGAACTCATAATATTGTGAACAACTAGGTGGTGACATTTTGTCATGTTAATGCCTTGTTGTTTACATTGAAGTTAACATTTTTTTGAAGTCCCAATAGTTTTGTACGTAACATTTGCTGGCCATCATTCAATATGCCCATATTTATGATTACCTTTACCAACTTTTGTTTCAGAAACAGGGTAATGTTGTGTCAAAGGCTAAAGGTGGGCCTTGGGGAAGTGGACATCCAGCCCCCCTACCTCCCATGCCACAGAACCAGCAAAATGCCAGTAAGAAGCTACCTCAAAAACCTGGACTGAAGATCTCAAGAGTACCAAATGGTATGTAAATTTTGAATTTAGATATATCATAGCACTGACTGTTAATTAGCCACATTTTTGTTATTCGGTCTTCAACATAGGCAAATCGTTAGTAACATACCACTGAGGCAAGCAAATCGTTAGTCTCAGCTTCCATCTTAAGGTGGCGATTCATCTAAATTAATTCATGTGATTTGAATGTATATTATATATATTGCAGGTATTGTGTTGTCATGGAATATGCAGGTTGATGAAGTGAACCATGCTAAAATAGTCAACTACCAGTTGTACGCCTACCAAGAAAGTCCTGATATGGTTCCTAAGATATCCCTGTGGAAAAAGGTAAGCACAAAAATCTTGTGTATACTTTATTCCTTGACAACTGATTTTCAATCTTTTTGACAATACTATATTATTATGTCACCACCAAAAAGTGGTGACATATTGTTATGGTTTCCATTTTTTGACGGTGGTTGGCGGTTGGCGATCGGCAACTGTAACAAATTCTTACAACTTCCAATAACTTTACAAATACTGTATAGACTGACTTCATTTGTTTTCAAAATCATCTACATGTTTTCAGAAGTTCAAATCTGACATTATATTTAAAATTTGACCTTCAATGATTTTTTCAAGGTCAAGAAAAGGTAAAAAAGGTATTTTTTTAACTTGCTTCAAATTAGCCAATTTTTTTTTCAAAATCATCTAGAAGTTCTCAATATTTCAAATCTGACTATAGATTTGATCCTATAGATGACATTCTCAAGGTCAAAATAGATTTGACCTTTAATGACCTCCTCAAGGTCAAAAAGGTCTTTTTTATCTTGCTTCATCTAGGTGGTGACATTTTGTCATGTTAATGCCTTGTTATTTTTCTATTTTTATGGTTACCAATTTTATTATCTGGGACAATTTTGCACTTTGAATCATTAACTTCACCAATTCATAACATATCACGGATCTTTTGGGAGATATTGTATTTGGGGTTATAAGGAATAGATAAGTAGGCCAATTGTGCTTGTTGGTTGCAATTTTGTGCCCCCCCCCTCTCATAGATCTGATTCTGCCTTTAACATAGAATGCTTTCACCTATTTTTTCATGTGTTTCAGGTGGGTGAAGTAAAAGCCTTGCCTCTGCCCATGGCTTGCACACTTACACAGTTCCAAGAGGGCAACAAGTACCACTTTGCAGTCCGAGCCATTGATGAACACACCAGAGTGGGTCAATTCAGCGAACCAAGCAGTATTCACCTCACACCAAACTCATAACCAATAGAAACTCATTTAACATCTACTTCAAGCTTAGGCCAGCCCAATATACTTATATACCTTAACAAAATCGAACTGAACTGTAATTCAAAATCAGCAAAACTTACAAATATTTACTATCAGCATGAACTCAAGTCACACTTGTATCAAATTCAGCCTTAACTTTGAACATGTATTATTTGAAGTAAATCTGGATGCTCAGCTAACCTATGAGAGACAGTTAAAGTGGTGAACTGTATATGGAGTAAAGCTTTGTTAATATACCACTGCAGAGGCTCAGATTGCTATGTTAGAATGCGGAGGCACAATATGAAATATGAGGGTTCCTCAACAAACTTAATATCTATACAAACATAACTATTGTCTCAGTTTGAGTTTTAAAAAAAAATCCCAACTAATATATAGGACGTCCAGTCAGAAACTTATACATGGATATGGATAATGGTTAACATCATACTGAAGAGCTGAACTCTTGCTTACATTTACAAGTATGTGACACACATGTGACATAAATGTGACACATAGGTGACATTAATGTGACACACGGGTGACATGCATGATAATTGATCTCCCACTGTATGTGTTTGTATACTTTGTATGTTAATTATAATTAATCCTGTACAGTTTTGAGTAATGACATAATTTGATGATTTAGAATATTTTTCAGAATTTAAGTATCCAAAATTAACCTATTAACAAATGCTTTCTTGTTCTTGGGTCCCAATGAAAGGGAAGCATAATTATCAACATATGTTGTCCAGGGGTTCTTAGGGACCATATTGGTCATTAGATATCCCCTTGAAATAAGCCATATTTGGTACATTATTGTATGAAATCCAAGTATGGCTTATTTAGTTTTGAAAGGAATAGTAGAATGATCTACTGTTAAATGTTGTATCCTCAATTAACTTCGCAATGTCATGTCTACCTTGATTAACTTAGCAATGTCATGTCTACCTTGATTAACTTAGCAATATCATGTCTACCTTGATTAACTTAGCAATGTCATGTCTACCTTGATTCACTTAGCAATGTCATGTCTACCTTGTCTGAAATAATTTTAAATGTTTTACTACATGCATTTGTATTTAGTTGCTTTGGTTTTTAAAGGAATATTCCTTGCCAAACCATCTCTCTCCTCATATGGTAGCTATAACCATATATATGCTTGCCATGTTTAGCAAAACACGCAAAAATGTTTTGATATGGTCAAATTTTATCACTTAGAAATGTGATGCTCAATTCCAGTAAGCTGCCATCTTTTAAAATTTCACACAGGAAGTGATGTCATCGACTCTCAACTTTGCATATAGCATTAGGTGAGGAGCTATTAAGAATTACAAAACCAGCAAAATATTCATTTCAACTTTGTATCCTATTTAATCCTTCTGAAAATCTCTTCTTTTATTCTAAGTTGACAAGCCCTGAAAATATTTTTGCACAGAAAGTAATGATCACTTGTCTAGAAGTGATTTTGTGCTACTTTCCTATACTGTTATGGGCAAGGTTATAGAAGTTGAGAGTTGATGACATCACTTCCTGCAAGAAATCTTAAAAGATGGCAGCTCACTGGAAATAAGCACTAGATTTTTAAATGATCAATATTGACAATATTTAAACATTTCCCATGTTTTGCTAAATATGGAAACTATATATATGATTATAACTACCGTATCAAGAGAGAAAGGGTCTGGCAAGGAATATTCCTTTAAGTTGCTTAGTTTATTTTATCCAAAGTATGAGAATAGAAATGAATTTAATTCAGAAAATGTTTTAGTATTCATTGATTGTCAAGAAAATGGGAATCTCGCATAATAATGTACTGTAACAGTATTTTGAGTTCGTAGAATTAGTTTAGATAGCTTGTAGATTTGCCATTGAAATAAAATAATTGTTATTGTTAATCTTCAAGTCAGAACATTTTGAAGCATCCCGTTGACATGTTTTTCATTTGGGTTTGACATCTAGCTGATTTGTTTGGTATTTAGGCTGACTTGTTTGATATCTAGCTGATATGTTTGGCACTCAGGCTGATTGTTTGACATCACGCTGATTTGTTTGGCATTCAGGCTGATTGTTTGCCATCTCGCTGATTTGTTTGGCATTCAGGCTGATTGTTTGACATCTCGCTGATTTGTTTGGCATTCAGGCTGATTGTTTGACATCTCGCTGATTTGTTTGGCATTCAGGCTGATTGTTTGACATCACGCTGATTTGTTTGGCATTCAGGCTGATTGTTTGCCATCTCGCTGATTTGTTTGGCATTCAGGCTGATTGTTTGACATCTCGCTGATTTGTTTGGCATTCAGGCTGGTTGTTTGACATCTCGCTGATTTGTTTGGCATTCAGGCTGATTGTTTGACATCTAGCTGATATGTTTGGAATACTAACCTTTAAAAGTCTGTTTAAGAGCCCTTGTTACCCCCCCCTTGTTACCCCCTATACACTACACTTTCCTAACAGGATAAGGGGCTCTAGAGATTTGATGTGAGAGGTCTATTCATCACTCATATAATAAGGCTTTATTCTTTGAATGTAATGTTTATTGTATTGTATAAATATCATGTAAATATTCATTTTGTATATGTATTAATGTCGACACATGTTTGTATATAATAGTAGAATATAGGAGATATTTCTATGTATGTAGATGTCTTATAATAAATGAGTAGAAATCTTAGTATTGGAATAATATCTTCTGTTGAATTTGTTCATGTATGTAGTTTGTTTATTGAAGAAATATATACCGAAGAGCAGGTGTTATATCGACGGATACAGACCGCAGGGCTAGGCACAAACGTTTTCTGTACCCCAAATGACCGATGGGAGTGAGGGTTTTGAAGGCTTTGTGTCTAGCCAACCGACGTTATGATGTCACACATTACTCGTATTACCAGGGGTATTGTTCGCGAATATAACCGGAGTCAAATATTGACTTTGTTCACAGTTTATAGAAGGCGTGAATACAGTCATGTTCGAATATGTCATATAAATTATTAAACTTTATGTTAGGTATTTTTGTCTTAGGGGTCTAAAAGGAGACTCCAACCATTTGATAAACAAACAAATGATCTTGGAAGACAGGCAGAGATTTCTGGGCTATTTCATTACCAATAATTAAAATTGAAAAATTTAACCTGGAGGGCATTAATAAAAACGTCATAGTTAAATGAGCATTCGACTGATAGTTAAAGGATTTCTTCGACAGATCTCCGAAGAACAAAAGTCAAGGTATTGGAGGTTAATAAAAAAAAAGTCAAGTTTTTAACTCACTTTAATTTACTTGCAGTGCAGTAGTTAGTTGTAGTTGAAATAGATACATGATATTTCAATAGTTGTCAGTTCTTAATATACGAAAAAAAGCCTTCAAAAATATCAAGCACGTAAGCTGGTTATATTGTTCTCTGCATGGGATGTTATCAATCACTCTACAAAATAAGAAAGGATATATTTTATTATATCAACTAATAGGCCTATTCATGTAGGATTTTGTAGATGCATCTTTTTATCACGGTGAAAATACTACAAGCAATTCCGTACAAAAAATCTCACACAGGTTGTCCAAAGGAATTTCTACCCAAATGAGACGGGAATAACTCTTTTTTCCTCCATTTTGATAGATTCCATGGGAAATGGTATAGGCCATTCTGATTTATCAGAGTCCCTCTTTACCTAACGCTTTTGAGAGACTCTGATATATCGTGAGGCAGAACATGTTCCTAGCCACTGCATTCTCCAAGTAAATCAGTGTATACATGGAGGAATAAATTAGTGCGTAAGAATGCACCTTCCTGTTTTCCCCTTTGTAAACTTTAATTCAATGAATTCATTATGTGGAAAACTTTTATTTATCTTGATGGTTCTTGTTTTTATATTGAAAATTAATAACTATGATAATGTTGACATACCTCTTTTTTCTTATTATTTTCAAATTTAGAATTTTAAACAAGAATTATCATGCAAATGTCAACACTTGGATTATTTGGGAGGGAATTGTGTTTGGTCACACTCATTAGGCTTTGTCTGATTATGTAATCATGCAACTGCAGGTAATGCCTTTCCATGATACTCATGGTCAATAGAACTCTGTAAATAATTTGATTGGTCCGTACATTTTAGGGTTAAAGGAAACATTTATTACAGTCAGTATCCCACAGTCTGAACTATTCCAAAAGGATAGTAAAGGCTGTGGATCCCACAATGGGTATAGGCTAGTGGTACTAAAACAGGCTTTTCTTTACAACTAAATAAGTAACTTAATACAACACGTAGGTCTTCATGATAATTAAATTGTCTCTCAGGCGAATGCCGATTTCAAGAATATCTTCGTCACTCACAGTGTCTTACTACAACATTGAAATATGGTTTGTGGTGGTTAACTAGTAAGACTTTTGGATGTTAATGATAATTGAATTGTCTTTCAGATGACCAAATATCAAGAGTATTCCTTCATCATTTACAGTTATTTCTGTTTATCTCGGTATAAATCATTCTGGGACACCCTGTACATTGTATGTGTGATGTGATGAAAACAAGGCTGTAATGCTGAAAAATGTTTGCTTTCAATTCGTTTTTAATAATCATAAATATCAAGAGTATTCCTTCATCATTTACAGTTATTTCTGTTTATCTCGGTATAAATCATTTTGGGACACCCTGTATATTGTATGTGTGATGTGATGAAAACAAGGCTGTAATGCTGAAAAATGTTTGCTTTCAAATCGTTTTTAATAATCATGTACATTACGGAATGAACTATGCTATTAAGAAAAGGCCAGGGTTAGCTGGGGCGTCTTTGTATCGTTAAAGGAGGATTCATTGGTTTTCCTAGAAACCTCGTGGTTGGGTTTACAAATATTTTACCTGTTAGATATTTCTCAGTGGCTTATAATAAAGGACCCACAGTCCTGTGCTCACAAAGTGTAGAGCCTTTAGAGGAATGTATATCCTGATTTTCTAACAAAATTATTGACTTTGATTTGTAGTCTCGAACTTTGAGAAACTTAGATAGCAAAGTTTGTGACCAAGTTTGAGGACCTTTGACCTTGAACATTTTACTTATTCAGAGCTCAGTATACGTCTAAGTAGGTCTTTTGTGATTAAGGTGACCAAAATTTACATCCAAATAATCAATTTGAAAAATAAACTCTTTTGACCTTTCGAAATCTCAAAACTAAGGTCAGATTTGAACTCCTGGCAACTTGTAGACGATTTTCCCCTAAAAAATTGGTCAAATTAAGGCAAGTTGAAAAATAACTTATTTTTACTGGTTTTTGATGTCAAATATCTCAAAAACAGTAATAAAAAAATTTGATGCGGACATATATTGAGCAATATGTAGGCAATGCTTAAATCTAGTAATGATGTAATTCGTTGCAAGTAACGAACAAGTATAGGGACAAACTTTGAGAAACTTGTCAATCACAAAACCTGCCATTGACGATATACATGAGAAAGTTCCCTGAAAATGACTCCCTCAAGTCCTGCTTTTTGTCAAATCTTATAGAGTAAACAGCTGTGTGAGCCAAAAACAACCACTAAGAATTGTATTGATCCTCTATTTATAGCATTTCAGTTACAGATGCTGACTGCCAAATGCGAACGCCATCCACAAAAAAACGAAGACTGCGGTGGTGATATAAAAAAATGAAAGGACCCACGGTCCTGTGCTCACACAGTTTGGAACCTTCAGAGGAATGTATATCCTGACTTTCAAACCAAAATATTGATTTGGATTTGTTGTCTCGAACTTTGAGAAACTTAGATAGCACAGTTATGTGACCTTAGTTTGATGACCTTTGACCTTGAAAATATTTTACTTAGTCAGAGCTCAGTAAGGTCTTTTGTGATTAAGCTGACCAAAATTTACATCCAAAAATCAACTTCAGATTTGAACTCCTGGCAACGTGTAGATGATCTTCAAAAAATTGGTTTAAATCGAAGCAAGTTGAAAAATAACTTATTTTTACTGTTTTTTGACGTCAAATATCTCAAAAACGGTAAAAATTTGATGCGGACATGTTTTGAGCAATATGTAGGGAATGCTTAAATCTAGTAATAATGTAATTCATTGCAAGAAATGATCAAGTACAAGGCAAACTTTGAGAAACTTGTCAATCACAAAACCTGCCATTGACTTTATACATGAGAAAGTTTCCTGAAAATGTCCTACTTTTTGTAAAATTTTATAGAGTAAACACCAAAAACTGTAATTCCAAGGGCTTTGAAATCTTCAGAGGACATAAGTTGCATATAAAGCAACTACTACAAGTTATTTGAAAGTTCTTCAACAAAGTGTCTAGTATTTACAGAAAATTTGACTTTTTGACGTCAAAATCAGCAATTTCTCGGAAACCGGGCGAACTTGGGAAATGGCAATGATAGGTCAAATAGACATTATGGATATGCATAAAATGAATAGCAGTTTTAATTTGTGCGGCCAATGTTGACAGACGGACGGACCAACGGACGGACGGACGGTCGATCCCATCACTGTGTGAGCCAAAAAATAAAGACATATGCAACTCCTTAAGATTTGGATCAAACGATCCTTTGAAAGAACAGAAGATACATCCGAATCCAACCCTAATAATATCTAAAACTGAATAATGTTAATAAATATCATGTCATTCTTGTGGAACATCCAACAATAACAATATTTGCAGGCGAAAAGCGACATTTATTCTGGATTAAACAGTTACAAAAATAAACATTCATTATAGACAAACAGTAGAGTTATTTGTGAAAATTATTGGTGATTTTCATTTTGTTTTTGAACAATAAGCATTCTGTACAATGAACAATTTGGTTAAAAGTTGAATTTACCTCATAATTTGTACAAATGCAATTTCTCCATTTACGATGCATCAAACTGTAAACTCAATAAAACAACACTATATTCACATTTAGTAAGTACATGGGGAGCCAAGTCTAAATATCAACAATAAAATTTACCGACATCAACATGTTTTCTTTTACTGTACACTGTGTACAGGGACCCATTAGCTCTAAGAAATAACAAAACATTGTTTATGATCAACTTCTATAAACTCAGGGCCCAGTTGTGCAAATCTGATGTTAGTTAAATTACTTTTAAAATATTTAGCTTAACATAGATTTGAATAACTTGACCTATATTTGTCCACTTTTAATATTTCAACTATTACAGTGAAAATATCCTCGTCTCTCTTTCATAATTGATTTTCTAAGAATATGATATTTAGAACAAAAATTTTTCCGTTGAAAAAATGGACATTGTGCATGTTAATAAATTGCCATCAAGCATATGAAGCAAAATAATTATTTTGAGTAAGTCGTTCATGTTATGTATGATCATCCCACATACTGTATTTCAAAACCTCAATGGATATTTTTAGACATTACAGAACGATTTATTCAAAACAAAATCCAGAGTCCAGTTGCTAAAACTAATGTAATTAAACCATGTTTAATGTTAGTTTTAATAAGAAGGACCCTGGCTTGTAGCAAAAGCAAAATAATAATAATATATTGTATAGTTTCTATGGTTACATAAAAAAAACTAAAGCATATTAACTTAAATAAAGGCAATGAGAGATTGCCTTGGAATTAATTATTTTCTAAATAATCAAGCTTTCAAGGCAATTCCTCCCTCGCCCAAACTCAATAGAATCTAATCTAGTGAGTCATATGCTATGGCACAACAATAAAGAAATACGCAAATTATGGCATTCTATCGCATGGACCAATACCTGGGATTGTGCCAAGTCAATAAATCCCATCTTCAAATCTCAAGATGTATTATGTACTGTAACTAAGCATATTTACAAAGATAGCATCTAAAAATAAAGTAATTATATTCATCAAATAGTTGATTAAGAACCTGCAGAAGTAACTGACCACAGTTTTCTTCTGTTTTCCCAACACTTGTGGGCTTTAAATGGGTCTTGATTGACCTCATTTCATACATTATTCATGCTATCATATAAAGTGAACTTTCCAACATACATTGATTTGATATAACATGGAGATAGTGTATATTATTTCAATGTTATTCCATTTTGGCAAAATAAGTCTTCTACATAATATTTCTATTGTTAAATATGTGAATATCACTTTTGTACAATACTCAACTATTACACAATGGACAAGCAAAAACTATTTAAAATGTCCATTGATATCAATATCTGCTCCCATATAAACTTGTGTGTAAAATGAGTAAATGACATTACTCAAAATCACATTACATGTATATACATTATTTGTATTCAATGTATCCATTTCACTATATCTCTCATTATATCACTGTTACAATATCACACATATATGTACATGTACTCCATAAATGTTTCTACTAACTTCACATACCTCATATACTGTATATGTTATTCTTGACAACACCATCACAACACCAATCATATACATGTAGTTACTTAATCACCAGTTATGCTACCATATGCACAACATTAACAGTATTACATGTACATACTCTTAGGCCTGCATTCTCACAATACCAAAATGACAACAGGCAAAGGAACTAGTTTTAACGAACTAATAAGGTTTCGGTTGCATATTGACTTGCACAGTTAAACCTGTCAAATGTGAATACAACTGGGAACAGTCTAGTGTTTGGATTGGCAAGTGTTCACATTTTAAGGTTTTATAACATTGTAATCTATTTCAGATTACAACAAGGCATTAACATGCAAAATGTCATCACCTGCCATTTGTTACAGCTGCCCAACTCCAAACACTAACCACCGTCACAAAAATGTTGGAGACCATAACAATATGTAACCTTGGTGGTGACATAATAACCTTGGTGGTGACATAATAATGGGAACTAAAAAGTGTCCACATTGACCGGTGTCCAAATTAGAGGGATGTTCAGATAAGTGGGAGTTACTGAATTCAGTCTGTACTGGTAATGCAGGGTATTATTAAGGAACAATGTACATGTTCTTCAGAATCAAAATCTTTATATAAGCTAGTGTTGATTTTTCCTAATGTCTCTATTCGTAGGTGGTTGTACAATATAGACATTTATGACACCACCATGAATCAAAGTCTTCATATAAGCTAGTGTTTCCTAATGCTTAAATTCGTAGGTGGTTGTACAAATTAGACATTTATGAAGCCACCATGAAGTTAGAAGCCTCTACAATGATCCCCTGTTTGTTGTACTGCTCTAGCAAAGCCCTCCAAATATCATCAGCCTCCAGAATGTACTTGTTGCCTGAAATACAGTGACATTTATCACCTTGTTTACAGTCACATTCAAACATTTATCAATTTGAATAGTCACATTTCAACATTTTTTACCTTGAGAACAGCGACATTGAAGCATTCATGAACTTGAATACAGTATAGTCACATTTCAACATTTATCACATTGTAGACTGATTCCAACATTTGAAAAGAATTTACTGTAAATGGTGAGCCTCTCCTTATTCAGACATGAAAGAAATCAAGACAGTTTAAACTCTTTTGAGTATCCATTCATTCTAGTAGTATTAATTTAATGACTTTTAGATACATTTTACAGCAACATGTATTACCAAATACCAACCTAGTATAATGAGGCCTTTTTTGGCACGTGTGATTGCCATAACAAGGTTAACACCATTGGAGTCTTCCCAGGGGGTAAGGTACTTCTTGCGCCATCTGCTGGTGGGTGCCAGCATTATCTCTTGCTGGGGCAATGATCTTCCAGTTGACACAATGACATAATCCCATTGACGACCTACAATACAAACAAAGGTTAATATCAATGATTTTAATGGGTATATCAATGATTTTAATAGGAATATCAATGACTTTAATAGGAATAACAATGATTTTAATAGGAATATAAATGATTTTAATAGAAATATCAACATTTTAAGAATTCAGACTAATGTTTTGTCTGTATAACAAAATAACTATAATCACATCAAAAAACATCCTACTCATTTCTTCAACAATCACATTAATATATTCAGGGTTCAATTGCCTATTTGGCAAACAGGATGTTATAAAAATGAGAAACCCATTCCACAAAATAACCCAATCCTAAAAGATTATACAAATATATTTACGGTTCATATTTTTTTTACATAAAAGGAGTCACCTTGAGCTTGGTCCAAGGTTGTGATTGTTATATCATCCACTGCAGGTTGATTCAACTGGTTCAACTTTCCTCTGATCTGATCACGTTGGTTAGCATGTGAAATAAGGATAGCAACAGAACTAGCAGGCACCAATTCATGAAGGACCAACATAGCAGAGATATACACCTGAAACAGAAAATGGAATACATAAATATAATATATTATAATATATATGTCATGTAATATAAACTAGATATCGGCAACTCCGCGGAGTAGCAAATCCCAACGAACAAAATATCAATTACCGAGTTCCAATCAATTATACTCATTACTTTGGTTAAAATTGAAAAATTTAGATTTTAGAATTGCGAATTCCTGCAAAGCAGCCATTTTGAATTTTCTGAGGTACAAATCTGAAAAATAATACCATAATTGTGATCTACTCCAAAATTCCTTCAATTTGAGTATAATATAGCCATACTTTGAAGGGATCGAAAAATTATTGCGAAATCGTACATTAGATGGCCATTTTGAATTTTACGAGGCTCAATCAGAAAAAAGATACAATATTTGCAATCTACTTTTAATTGCCTTTCATTTGAGTATAATAAAGAATGATATACTTCAGAAAGATCTAAAAATGAGCGAAAATTTCTGTTTTCCTCACCCCCCATACACGGCCCCTGGGGGTCAGGATGAAAAACAAAGAATATATGTGAAATAGATAGATGTTGCGAATATACTACCAAAATTTCAAACAATAATATTAATTACTTTGGTTTAGAATGAAAAATTTATGATTTTTGTGAAAAAGTCCCGTCATTTTTAAAGCAGCGGCAATCTTGAAAATTTTTTTTTGCGTAAAACTATTCATCAATATACATCTTTCCACCAAATATGAATATGATTCAGTGAGTGATAGTGATTCAGATCCCAAACCTGTACATTTATTTGAATACATAAAATAATTCTTTTGAGTAAAACAAATGAATTTGTATCTATCATTAGATATCCAACTAGAAAACTTCAACTCCGCGGAAATCCGCATCCTAACAAATAAAATTTCCCATGTTATTTTCCTGTATTGATTTTTCTTGCCCTCTGAGAAAATAAAATGTTTTTATATCTGCTTTTCAATTTTCCTGCATCAAATATATTTCTGGTTTCTCTTTAACATTTGTCGCCTTTAACACAACTTTCACATGGAAATGACGATTTATCATCAAATTAAAAAGATAAGGTTTAACTTTAGATTGATATCCAACAATCTCCAGGAAATATGGAAGATAATAGGGGGAAAACAATTCCTTCAATTCGAGGGGCTCTGTTTGGGATTTCTTTCATTACTGTCAACATTGTCTAGTTAGATTCTTGCAAGATCCTTGCTTTATTTTAGCGATCATGTCATTATTGTAAAAATATGCTGTTACATGGTTTTGATGTTGCAAATAAGGCATTCCTGGCATCAAAATTTGCCATGCATAAAATTCACGGTAATTTTTTACTTCTTTCAGCTTCGCTTGTTAGAATGGTCTGAGGATGTATTTTCAATTTTTTAAGTGCCCTGGCATTTACACTTTCACTTACAGCATACTGGGCCTCCTCAACATTGCCCACTACTTGAGCGCCCTCTTTAATCTCTGTACCAGCAATGTGGCAGAATACTACAGGTCGACTGGGGCCCCCTGGCCAGATCTGTCTTTCATCAGGATTATTTTGAGTCTGGCTGCCACATGCTACAGGACCATAACAGAAAGTCATAGGGAAATACGCAACTGCCGTATGCTGAAAGACAAACATTTAATATCTTCAGTCTAGCTGCCACATGTTATGCATGAGGAGACCATGTATATTTTTAAAACAGTAAAATCATCGATGACTAATTCAAAGACTTGCATCAAGTCTTTACACCCCCCTCAGTATTTTACATCCATGTACTTGATGCAAGACTGCAGGTTTTACACTACTCTAATAAAATTTGGAAATTGTCAACATACCATTCTGTACTGCACTTCCAGCATTTCTGCTTCAAGTATGTATCTTTGAAACAAACTTTCCTTTAGCCCTAACTCTGCTGCCTGGACGCTGTTTATGTGCTTTGGCCTTAGCCAAATGTCTCCAAATAGTACAACTTGGTTAGGGGCACACGTGACAATGGGCACCATAGACTCTGGCTCTGTGCACATACAACAGTCATCTATGATCAACTAAAATGAAGAAAATAGATTTTAGTTTCTGATTTATTGACCTAAGCTTGTTCTAAATATTTGTAGTAATATGCTATATATAAAGGTATAAACATCAGGTAAAGATGTCTCCTCTTAAATGTTTATATGTTCATTGTATATTTAAAATAAATAGGGAATAATAAATTGAACTGAATGTATGTACATCAATTGAGAGGACTAGATTCTGGACACATGAATTTCTTAAATAATTGTTTAAATTAAATTATGGATTAGTTATTTTCATCAGTCATACACATACTGAAACAATCAGCTGGCCCAGATTGAGCCTGTCTGGTAAGGGTGAAAAAGAATATTGAACCACTTGGAATATTGTTCTCGTTTGTATTGAGTCTACCTAACCTTGACTGTAAATGAATAATATGAATTTGCCACCTTGTCAATGTAAGGGAACATAGACAATCATAATAATATAATAAGACTATAGCATCGGGCCTCTGGGGAGATGTTGTGTCTCATAAGCTATTGCTGTAACATGATAGAAACTATTGATAAAAATATATTCAAATCGTTTCAATTAAATAATCACCTGTTCAAAATCAACCGTTTTTAGCAGTGAATTCGCCGCCTCACTACACAAACACAACACAATGGAAACCTTTGAGATTTCAGCAGATTTAGCGATACGTAGTGCAGTAAAGTAGTTCTGTAAATAGTCCTGCGTCACCTGATCTGGAGAGCTCATCAAAATACGCTCATAATCCTTAAATAAGAAATAGAAATCAATAAACTGAATCAACCATAATATTACAATCATGATATTACAAATACAATACTACAACTGGACAACTATTTTATGATTACCAAGATTCCCATTTTGTTTTTAAGGCATTTTAATATATTGATATTTCGCAACATGAAAGTTGATTTATCCTATGCCAAGTAGAGTTTTAAGGTGATAAGTTGGTAAGGTATATCCCGTATCATGATTTTGAGGTTTCCATATCCTGAACCTCCATATCTCCCGCCATATCTCCCGCTCCAGGGCATATCTTCCCACTTCGAAAAAAAATTTGAAAAAATAAGAAAAAAAGAAAAAATGTAAAAAATTGAAAAAAAGAAAAAATCTAAAAAAAAAAAAAAATAGAAAATTCAAAATGTTAAAAATTGAAAAAAAAATAAATAAAAAAAAATTGAAAGAAAATTAGAAAACTCTACTTGGTATAGGTATGATATACACAAGATAAGATATATACACAAGATAAGATATACACATCTACCTTCGGTCCCTACGGTCCCTCAGGTAGATATGCATATCTCCCTCTGGATAAACCCCATATCCAAAACCTCCCAGTACATAACCCTTATATATTCTATAATAGGTTATTTACATGAATTTCATTTTATTTGAGTAAAGAACAGATCAACTGGTCAATAGTAAATATCAATTGGAATTTTTCCCCCTCCTCTATGACGACTTAAGCTTTAATAACCTACCATAATCTGCTGATAACAGACACTAGCTGGACTGTGAATTCTGTGGTGCAAAGCAGACATCTTGTATTTATCAGCTATAGGTGGTGGTTTAACTTTATTGAGACCTGCTTGGTTAGGTAGGGGGTAGTCAAACCTCTCCTGTTCTTCGGAGTACATACGAACATACCTTACGCCAGTCTGCTGAAGGAAATCTAAAATAATACCATTAGTTTTTAAATACTATATCTGAAATAACCATCAAATTGTCATAAAAGTATACAGAATCTAAAACTAGAAAAACAGAAACTCCCTGAATTAGCAGATCCCACCGAACAAAACATATTTTATCAAATCACTAATCATTTTTAAATAACCAGGTAGTAGTATGGTGTCTCCTTTTGGCAAATCAAGAATTGATTAAAATCTCAGTTGTATTTCATGTCAATAAAAGTTATAATATAATAAAATCCAACCATCTGAGAGAAAATGCTTTAAAAGGTCATTTCATTCTCAATATATCTTCATACTTCCATACATTATGGTTCCCTTTTAAAATTCAAACACAACATCATGAAATCCATCTATTAAATTAAAACAGAACTTCTACACCCAGTTTGATCAACATAGCTAAAGCACATCATACAGCATAGGCATTCAACAAAAAGGTGAATAGTCCTTACCTTCAAGTACATTCAAGCCTTGCTCACTAGATGAACACATCATGACCATCTTGTCTCCACTCTGAGACTGTTTGTTCAACATAACATACAGCAAAGCAAGTTGAGTGGCCATCATAGATTTACCAGTGCCTGCAGAAAAGGAACAAGACTGAAAAATCCTGGATTGCAATTTTTTTTCAGAAAATGTTTCCCTGAGAATTTATTGATGGCCATACTACTAGAAAAGGGTAGATGCTGAAATGAAAATCTAAAGTTCATGATGCAGATTATGGACTTAGTCTTTTGACATGTTTTAGTCTTAAGTGTCACTTTTCTTTATCAGTGCTTTCAATACTTTTTGGGTTTACCAATAGGTTACTGGTGTTTGCACAGATACACTTTTGCCATATTGCTATTTTTCTGCCATTCAGAGATTATATAGATTTTGAAAAAATTATTCGTATTGGTAAATCAATTTTACATGTTTATGCATTCCCTACCTGCAGCTCCTCTGATGACAGTGAATGGCTGGTTAGCAGCAAGTTTAAGTTTGTCTGCCTGAGCAGTGTTCAACTTTGGTAGATCTCCTTTAGGTATATCATTTAAGTCTTTATCTGTACACATCTTACGCTCTCCTTCAACTGAAAGTCAATATATGAAAATTCGTACTTATTATCTGTTTTTTAGAAATATTTCTGAAAAGGACTAGGCAATCAAATAAAGAGTGTGATAAGAAATTATGTAAAGCTTCTCATTATGCAGATCTACCTTTAACTACTTATTTCGTAATTTGCCCCCTTAATCCAAAAACACTCATATATATATATCATTTGCCCATTAGCTAGCTAGTACTTACAAGTAGGTGGTTTCCCTACAGCAATACCCTGGGCAAGGTCATTAGTAGACATGGTATTCAACATTGTCAATGCAGTTTCCTGTGACCTGGAATGTGAAATATAACACCTTAATACAGGACTTGAAGATAATTAATTCGATCTAAGCTCTATGGAAAACATGTTAATATTGCATGAAAAATCATTTACTTTTTAAATATAAATAGGATCTTTTTTTAGTATTGTTTACCTTATTTATAAACAATATTGCACCATGTACAATAATAAATATATTTTAGAATTCTCATACTTGTCCAGTATTTACTCTTAAATGGTGGACTGACTCCATTATAGAGTGATCGATTCAAACTTCAGGAATTTAGGTAACAAATGTAATATCTGTACCTATAAACTGTGATTGGAATTACCTGTGCGCTTTTGTCTTCTGTCTCCATTCTACAGTACAGGGGGTGTTCCTGCTCTCTAGAACCTCTGTAGGCATAGCAACCGCTGACTGGGTCAGAGTGACATTCACAGATACCAAATTGTTAGAGCTATTTGAAGACAGAGCAATGCAGTGGCCTACCCAGGTGTATGGTTCGGGAGCGGATACCTGTGGGTGGGGATTAAACCCTGGGAGCATAGCACCTCCTGCTGGCATACCTCCAATGGCGTATCTCACACATAGATAATCGCAAACTATTCCACTTCCATTGTATATATAATCATCATCGCCCTGGTTCGGGTTTATACCTTTTACACCGGTTAAGGGAATCTGGCGATCTTTTAAGAAATCTAGTGGTAAGCTGAAAGTGCCTGTGTAAATGCTCCCTTCTTCCGTTCTCTTCTCCTGCCAGCGTATGATGACATTATGGATATAAATAGACTTATTGAGTTTCATAGAAGCTGCAGCTGCCTCTTGCTTTACTACAGGTAGCCATGCAGCTTGGTAGTTTCTTACATCAGTGTAGCTCCTTTTTGATGCACTTTTAAGAGACACAGCCCCCATCATGAACACATCTTCTGATTTCTCGTGATGTTCTACGCAAAGGTCAAGTTTGGGAGTAAGATTAACTAGCTGAACACTGGGGCTTAGGACGCCATCTTTAACTCCTGGGATATACTGCACCTTAAGTAAACCTGATGGTTTCAGCGTTAAATGGACATCGCAGTTCTCCTGGGATTTTATTACATTGGAGGCCACTTCTGAGGTAACCTCCTGGGCATATTCAGTGACATTTGCAGGGAGAATCACTTGGGATAGAGTAGTAATGAGGCCTTGCATTACCTTAGGCTGATCATTGGCCACAACCCCAGTCACCATGTTTTGCCACGAAGCTCTAGGGATCTTCGCTACCAGTTTATCAGGGTTAAGACGAATAGGCTCAAAATCACGACGTGTTTGAAGTCCTGGGCTAGTATCATATACCCTCAATTCCCAGTGTTGACCTTCTAAGCTAGCGTCTGCACAATCAAGATGTTTAAATGGAACCGTGATAGATCTTAGATTAGTTTCATTAGGAGCGTAAAATTTCAATTCATCCTGATTTATAGTTTCAATGACTGAGTTAACACATGCCGGTGATTTATTAAGTGAGTCTGTCCATGTGGCTGATCTGATATCCTTACTGAATTGTTCTGCTTGTTTCTTGGCGATGTTCACCATTCCACATATGATCGTAATCTCATCTTCTGTATAGGGATTCTCCTGTTGTTCCAAAGCAGCTACTAACATCCTCTGTATTGCAATATCCATGTAGCTCACAAGGGGTTTAGTTAATGTCGTGTACACAGGAATATTAAGTGAATAGTGCATTGGAGATGGTCCCTGGATACAACAGTACTGTGGCTCCTGGAGAAGATCCCTCAAGTCTTCCAGTGCAGGGACAACTTCAGAATGGTTATATGGAGACAAGAACAACTCTTGCAATTTAGACATATTATTACCGATTACAGCTTGGGTCACCCCTTCCCATAATTTCACCTCTACATCAATCTGTGGATGAATTACATCAGTGGGTTGGACACATCTTGCGACACACTGGCATATATCTAGACACTGGCACACATTTGGGGCTAGGATGTAACCTTTCACAAGGCAAGGTGCTGTAGTGGCCTCCCCTATGTACTTCTGACGCCACATATTCAAGTCAGCCTCATTTGGAGAGCCTTGTTGTAACAATGGAGTCTTATTTGGTTCTCTCTTCCATAGCATATCAGCAACTTTCATGTTAGTAACAATTTCAATTTCTTCTGTGAGGATTTTAGAATTTGGTGTTGTATTGTCATCCAATGTATCAAAAATGTTACATAGGCTCATCGTACCAAGACGAATCTTCCTCCACAATGCAGTGATGTTCCGCAACATGTGTAGACATTGCTTTACCTCACGGTGGTCAATCATTTTACGATCATCTGTAAGGCTCTCCTCAACATCCTGGTGACTAAGATGAATGCTGGACTTCACGAAACATCTTCGGATCTGGACTTTTTTAACAATAGCTTGGGGATCTACAGTCATGAAAATAGAAACGGTCAGGCAATCATGGCCAGGCTGTAGATTCAGTAGATCGTAACTCATTTGTTCTGGGATCAAAGCACCTCCTGTGCCAGATGTCTCATAGGTTGTTGCACGTTGTAGAGCTTCATTATCAATCGGGTCACCCTTCTTTATAAAGTTAGAAACATCAACAATATGAACTCCTATGAAATATGTTCCATCTTGCAGAAGTTCAACACTCAACGCATTATTGATTGGCGCCTTAGGGGATCCAATTGAGAAAGTTATCTTGTTACGGAAGTCGACACGATCTTTCAAATCAGCTTCAGTCAATGTGTAATTAGATGGGAACTTGTGCTTAATGTACTGTGTCACTTCAAGAGGCATGTGTTGCGGCACGGATGAACCAATCTTCAGAATCTCTTTTGTACAGTCAAGAGAGTCACCAATAGGTAGGACCCCAACCACTATCCCAATAGGAGCATTTACTGTTGCATTTAGACCAAGATAGCGTACAACAAATATCTTATCATTCTTTGTCTTGTTAATAGGTTCATAGTGGTCAAAGACTACATTACCGTTAGTATTCAGAGAGTAGACTGTTACAAAACCAGACTTAGCTTTCTTGGCATGCTTTTCAGTTTCCAAATTGTATATTTTAGTAACTGATTCATTAAGTGGGACAAACATATAGGAGATATAGTCACCATTATGAGAAATGATGTCCAATTCACATGCAATCAAGCTGTTTTCTTTGGGCTCTAGACCATCTTTGAAATACTGTTGGTCAACTTCTATTCTATCAGCAAACATACTGTGGCACGTGGTACAAGGATAGGGTGCTGGTTTACCATAGACAATCACAGGAGAACGGAAGTTATTTTGACCCATATCGACATTCCCGACAGGAGGCACTGGAGAATCTGGTCCTTTCTTTTTCTTCCTGGCTTTCTCTCGTTGGAGTTCATCAGCGACAATCTCTGTCATAACTGTGTTGCTGTCAGAGTCTGCACCTGCCTGAATGGACAACTCAGCTACGGCTGCAACCACTTCATCAGTAGCTTGTTTACTGGAGTCAACAACATCATCAGGTTCATCATCATTAATATCATCATCCCCATTTTCAACAGGAATATCATCATTAGTGACCTCATTTTCTGGATTCTTCATCATTTGGGTAAGCTTCAGGAGATTTTCTCCATACTCAGACTGCATTAGTCTGATAACCTCTGCCTTGATGGTATCAAAAGTTATATTTTCAGGTTGGATACTGTGTAGGTTACTGCAATGCTTGATGTATGTTCGCCACAATGTCATACACTCGCCTATTGAACATAAGGCCACTGGGTCACCCACTACAGCCACCATGGACTGAGCCCTGGTTAAAGCAGTGTTCAGGAGTTTCTGGTCAGACAGAAATCCATAATCGCCATTATCTCCATCATATCCCCCAGCTTGTATGGGACGTTTAGGAGGCTGCATAGCTAGGTATCTGGTTCTAACTGTACTAATCACTAACACACGATACTCCTGCCCTTGGATGTTATTCATCCTCTGGACCACTACCCGACCTAGGGCATTACTACGTGCCCTGAGTGAGGCCCTGATTTTCAACACTTGTTCAGTATACGGTGTTACGATTCCGATCAGGCTTGGTTGTCTTTCACCCCAAGCTTCTGGCCATTCATTATAGATTTCTTCCACTCTGTCGGTAACCTCCTCAATCTCTGCGTTATTGTAGTATGCGACACTGTTCTTGTCTTGGATTTCCTTACCTTCGGCAGCATAGAAAACAAGTGGTGGCTTTGAACTAGGTAACTGCTGGGACTTAGGAATCAGTTTTTGAGGGCCTCCGTAGAAAGCCACAGAAATGAACCGCAATATTTCCATCTTCGACCTATAATTGTTCTTTAATAGAATATTCACTTGTCTGTTTTTGAACAAACCTGACGCATAAGTTTCATAAAACTTGAAAATTCGTTCAAGGAGTGAATGGTGGAATTTTTGCTTGCAGGCTTCAGGACTGTACACCTTAGGCCCTAACTGCATAGGATCTCCTGCTAGTGCAACACATGTCTTGCTGTTTGCCAGGGCAAGAGGCGTAATAGCCTCACATTCCAGGGCCTGTGCTGCTTCGTCTATGAAGATATGTGTGAAACAATCTTTCAAACCCAACCTCGAGAACATGATTGACGAACTTAGCGTTACTATGACAACTTGCTGATTCATTATGTCTTCCTTAGTGGGGACAACAAAGCTAGCGCCATCTGGGGAGCGATTACAGAAATCGACAACTTCAGCATTCACAGTGTTTACTCTTCTTTCAGTGAAGTAGACACGTCGCAACCTCATTGTACCAGTCTTTGCAAATTGGCCCAAATGCTTGGTGATATACAGATCAGCAGCGCTATAAATACAATGCAGTTTTATGCAACAATTCATATATTTGTAGTAATAAATCCAGAGCAATGTATGATGTTAGGAATTGCAAATGAAAATCACCCTAAATGAGGCAAGTTTGTTTTATTGTTTTAAGCTATATATACATGTGCATCATAAACTACACTTACCTATTAGACTGTGTACATATAAGCACCCTGGCATTAGGCATGGCCCGGATTAGTGTCATAGTGGCTTGGGCAATGGTCTCTGTCTTCCCAGTGCCAAATGGACCATATATGATTAATGGAGGGGTGTATGTTTTGTTCTCTCTTACTATGTGCTCAACAATCTTAATTTGGTCTTCATTCAGAATACTACTCCTAGAAAATATAAGTGTGATTTTTTTAAACAAGACAAAAGACCAAACTTTTGATCTAGTAACCCCAAAATAATCACTTACATATAAACAATCCAATCAGTGATTCACTTTCATATTTTTCGACAAATTGAATAAAATCAGAATCTAGCAAGTTGAGAAAAATTCCTAGAAAGAACACTTCAAGGATATACCCATGATCCAAAAATAGGTGAGGCGAATTAAAACAGATGAGGCAAATTAAAACAGGTGAGACAAATTTTAACAGGTGAGGCAAATTTAAATAAACAGGTGAGGCAAATTTAAACAGGTGAGGCAAATTCAAACAGGTGGGGCAAACTTAAACAGGTTAGGCAAATTAAAACAGGTGAGGCAAATCAAAACAGATGAGGCAAATTAAAATAGATGAGGCAAATTAAAACAGGTGAGGCAAATTTAAACAGGTGAGGCAAATTTAAATAGATGAGGCAAATTAAAACAGATGAGGCAAATTAAAATAGATGAGGCAAATTAAAACAGGTGAGGCAAATTTAAACAGGTGAGGCAAATTAAAATAGATGAGGCAAATTAAAACAGGTGAGGCAAATAAAAACAGGTGAGGCAAATTTAAATAGATGAGGCAAATTAAAATAGATGAGGCAAATTAAAACAGGTGAGGCAAATTAAAACAGGTGAGGCAAATTTAAATAGATGAGGCAAATTAAAACAGGTGAGGCAAATTTAAATAGATGAGGCAAATTAAAACAGATGAGGCAAATTAAAACAGGTGAGGCAAATTAAAACAGGTGAGGCAAATTTAAACAGGTGAAGCAAAACTTTGGCCATAGTATATCATACTACTATGCAACTTAATTGTCAGGTTCAGTTGCCTCATCTGCCTAATGCAAGCTATACCCATGCTGTTAACTCTGAACTGCATCATGTAAGATACTTATAGTTTACTCACTCCATCCGTGGGAATACACACATTTCATTGTGTCACCCACTTCGTTGTTTTCTATTGTGTATGTATATTATGAAATAAAGAAATTGAATTGAAATTGAAGGTGAATTACTTACTGTACATTGACCATTGGGGGTGAATCAAATCCTTGGCTAACTTTATTCAGATCAGGGAATACAACATCAGTATTAGGCAACTGATCAACGGCATAATGGAGCTCTGCAAAGTATTTCTTGTCCATCTGAAACTGTATTTCCACCTTAAGCCGTGCTCCATCCCTCAGATTGAGCTCTGCACAACATGTAGGGGATAAACACAGGTATATATAGTCTTTGCCCCGCCCATCGTAATCAAAGTTCTCCTTAGATACAAATATGGCTTCATAAACCTGAAAATATATATATGCCAAATATTTAAGAAGTTAAATATTTGAATCCATCCACTAGATTAAGAATGCATCACATCTTGTCTAATAGATCTTGAAGCATAGATTATAATCAAATAAAACAAATATTTGTCAGAAAAAGCTGCCAGGACTATTTCATTTTTATGGTTCTCGTAGGATAAATGATGATCTGATACAAGACTATATCTAGAGTCATACCTTTGTAGATGTACTGTGTTCATGTTTCAAGAGGACTTGATGTACACTGTTAAGAATCAGCTTCCCTGCATCCGTATCTTCACTCAGCTCATCATTGAGGGGAACTTTAGCAAAGAACTCCCCATGGCGAGCAATTATAAAAGCCTCCTCTTGTATTTTACCCATGATTTGGATCTCTGTTTGCAGATTGAAACTGAAAGAATAACACCAAGGTAAAAAAGTGATAATCAAACAAGCAATTGTAACGATGGATTTGTGTTTCTTAGGTACGACATACAGTTTGGACCACAAATAAATGAGTCATGGATTTGCTGAAGTGAGGATTTCCCATGTTAAAAATAAGAGAATTTTCAAGAGGCCATCAGTGGATGAGAGAGTACAAAATGTAAAATATACAAATTTTAGGGGAAATGTATCTAGACAATATTGGAAACTATGGGCTTTCAAATCACCATGATTTAAAAATGGTGAAAGAAAATCGACTGCTCATTCATTTATGGTTCAAACTGTAAAAAATTAATTTCTGAACTGACAAATGATACATGTACTGTACATCCAATACAGCCCTGAAGGTAACCGATGAACTGAATGTATATTTTGACAATTATGTTTTTAACCTCAATGCTGAACCCTGCTGAGTCACCACCTACCATTTGTTACAGACACTGACCACCAAAAACCAATCACCAACTGCCAAATACCAACCACTGAACACCAACTGCCAAACACCATCCAATTTGACAATATGTCCAACTTTTGATGGTGACATAAAAACAGAACTGGAAAAATGTTCACTTTTAATGGTGTCCATATTAGAGAGGTGTTCACATATTTATTTCATACTGTACCTAGATATTATCTGATGCCTTGTTATCTCCTCAAGTTGCAGCATCTTGTGCATCTTATGTACATAGTTATGTCTGTTAAGCTCAACACCCAGGGCTTGTTGGGTAACTATCAGGTTAGCGGATGATGGCTCATATTTCTTCATCGTTTCCTCAATGAATGGGTCAATGTTGGCCTGAGTGAACTGTACAATTTCACTGTTTTCTTTAGTCCATCTGGAAGTAAAGGTTGCATCTGATTGAATGTAATAAAGAAATAATAATGAGCTTTATATACATTTGTTTTTTATCTATTTATTTCAAGATTAAATACCAACTCTGCATACACAATTCACATACACAGCCAATCTCCGACAACACCATATGGTACCATTTCGGCTACGGTACAGTATGGTACCATAAAATATAGTTCTGTATGGTATCGTTGACTAAAACAGTACTGTACGGTACCATGAAAACTCTTGGCACCATACTCTAATAGCACCGTATAGTACCACACTTAAATAGCACTGTGTTGTACCAATACTTGAACAGCATTGTATTACACAATTGCAGCATTATTGGCTATGACCAATATACACAAATTCCAAATATTTGTACGAAGTTATCTGAAAGCTTACCTGTCAAAATTCAATTTCTGGCGCAGATGCTTCACTTTGGTCTGTACATCCTTGGTGCCAACCTCCACAGTCAACTTCCTGACTATAACAGGGGGAGTACCAACATCAAACACCACCCACTGGTCAAATGATCCAAACATGCCTGCCTCAAACTTGACATGTACCTAAAGATTTTGAACACAATATTTAAAATGTATAGTGAAACCATATTGTGTGAACTGTATAGTGAATCTATCAAAACGTAAATGGATGCTTCAATTCCATTTTTTGGATATCCAATTGACTTTTAGTTGTTCAATGGTTGAAGAAGACACTATATAGTTCTGGTGGTCTATAATGTGCCGTTTCAATAATCTACTATTATTTTAATGCTCACAGTTTTTAAAGAATATACATGTATTAGCATTAGCCCCATTAAGGATGACACAATCTTCTATAAACTTGTAATAGTATAACAAATATGTAGAAATCATAATGATGTACCAGGTATATAGGATTGTTGTAGGCATCATTGTCCTCAAGAAAACTGTCCCCTGGTGAGATTTGGCAGTTGGTTTCAAAGTCTTCCCCGCATAAAGAGAAGTGGAGTCGGTGCTTGTCATGAAGTAATGCAACACGGCAGAGCTGGTTACCATTCTGAAACAAATCACAGCTGGTTTTATTGAAAAGGACAGTACTGGTAGTAGAGGTTTTGGACTGAATGTATCTTACATATTATGAAACTTTCATTGTTTTTTATTTCAGAGTATTTTCTTGTTCAATATGGTAATCTATCATTCAAAATCATGGAACATATACTTTAATTGTTTTACATTTCAGAATATTTTCTTATTCAATATGGTAACCTATTATTCCAAAATTGTGCAAGAAGTTAATTTTCGTATTCTTCAAATTGATTGGCTTTGCTTGGTCATTACATCAGGAATCAAAACTAATGTTGAAAACATGACTGCCACAATAAGCAATAAGTTTTTCAAATACATTGCCAAAAATGAAAGGACTGCCAATGGCAGCGAGGCAGCTGCGAGTTTCAAACCCTGCGTTATGAATGGCGTGCTACTGAGAATATCCTACCTTCAAATTGACTTGGAAGGTCCACACATGTGATGATTTCTTGTTATTCTCATATACATTCAAGTCCTGGTCACATTCAACAGTAGCCACTTCACTTTGCTCACTGATCTACAAACATGTGATTGACAAATTGAAGCATGTATTAAGTGTACAATTTGAAATTTAAAGTGTAAATACATATAATTTCTTTTAAATACATGTACTTTCAATTTCCCCAGAACTTTTGGTCCAAATTTTTTCCATTTTTTCAAAAATTCCATTATTTGCCAAATTTTTCATTATTCTAAAAATTTTCATTTCAATATCCTACAATTTTTGTAAAAGTCACATAGCTTCAAAAATCTTAGATTATTCTCTAGTTCATGTATATGGACTATATTCTATTGAGCAGTCTTACAACATGTGCTCCTGATGCTGCATTCATGTAGTCTTCCAGTAGTCCCTCCATGTAGGAGAACAGACCTTCCTGCTTTGCTTGTTCTCGCTTCATCTGCCTCCATTCGTACCTCTCCTTCCACTCATCCATCTCCTCTTGGGTGTGAGCGTATTGGCAACTGTTGAACTCTTGCATGTAGGAGTAGCGACAGCGCTTGCCATTCAGGTGACTATAAACAAAGAACAAAACAGTAAATAAACAGAGGTCTGCCTTAGATTCTGAACCAAAAGCCTAGATCTGAACTTTGAATACCAACTTTGGAGCATTGCCACCTTTAAAGTTACAGTATATAAAACATAGAAATATCTAGAAAAGTTTTATAACACAAATAAGGTCAAAAGAATGGCATTCACAAGTCCCAGAAACGAGCATACATCAAAAGACAACTTTTGATGTATGCTTGTATGTTTATTGGATACTTGTATTTGCCCTTAATTTTAAAAGTTTTGCAAATGTTTGTACTTACTCGACACACATGCTATAGTTGCCATTAGGTATACCCCATGGTGGCTGCCTATAGTTCCACTGGTGCTCCTTATCACTGTTAACATTGAACATATGCTTAACTGAGGCACAATGGCTCTCCCATTGCCTCTCGCTGTTGGTCTGTACCCCGCAGTAATGGCAATAGTGCGCTGCCTGGGAAGGTTTCTCTGTTTGGAGAAGATAGTTAGTCGTTGGTACAGTCTGAGGTGCTTTTGGTGTATTACTCATCTATAACATGGATAGATATATTTTATAGAGGTCTACATCCCTCAGTATTGGATGATCTTGTATGGTTTTCAGGTTGGTAGAATTTATCCAGTAGATAAAGTAAATATATAAGGGTTATGTACTGGGAGGTTCTGGATACAGGGTATCAGGGTAATATGTATATCTCCCGAGGGACTGCAAGGTCTGAGGGATACACATTTCCCCAGGGATAAACCCTGTATCCAAAACACATCCAGCCCAATTTCAAATACAAATAAATATTTACACATTTTCAATGATGAAATTTATAAGACACTGTCCAATTATTAAAAGCAACTTAAATTTAAAAAATGCAAATAAAACAATTTTAGAATATTTTCACAATGTCTATGTTTTATTTAGGCAGATAATATCCAGTAAGATAGATGGATTCACTACCTGCACTTGTACAACAGGCTGTCCTTTAGTTATAGGGGCCTTAGCCTGCTCTTTACACAGTTCAACAAGTTCCTCAGTAGTCCGCACTAAAAATAAAGCAATGTGTAGATAAATGTATAAAATGTTGCACTGGAAAACCACGATGCAACATCTGAAACAAAACTAGAAATCACATAAGATCTACATAGTCTATAAAATGTAGTATACTGTAGATCTCACCTTTATTTTTCACCATCCATGTCCAGACATCCATCTCCTCTCTACAGTGAGCATATTGGCACTGTTTCCCCACGACATAGAAACACTCCCTCTTGTTGATAATATGAGTACACATTGCAAAGTTACAGTCTTTGGGAATCCTATAGGGTAATTCTCTTATGACTTTCCTCTCAGGTAACAACAGGCAAGCTTTGTTCTGACTCCAGATGTGACCATTGCCAGGACCTGTAACATGAAGATAGGGTAGTAATTAGTATTTTTAAGAGTGATGTCAATGAAACCAATCTTAATTAAATCTGACAAAGTTCTGTATATATAAGGCAACATTTCATGATTTTCAAATAAATCTACACATTAGTGTTTTTCAAGTCTTTTATAGATACTGGACTGTGAGGCAAAGTAGAGAAAAAGAAAAAGCAAGTTTTAGCAAGAAACTGTGAGCATCTTAAATGAATTTTATTCTGACCCATACAATACATTCACACACCATAACAAGGTGTAGCAATAGGACCCCTCTCATAAAAGCAGATATGAAATGGTATTTTTAACCTAAAGGAATCAATATAATTTTTTGATAGATGTATTTGGACATGTTTTCTCATCAGTAGTGTGAAAACTATTTCACTCTAACGATCGTTATAGCTGCTTAATAAGCAGTATTCGTATTGGTTGTGACGTTCTTGGCCCCCACGTGATCTCTTACTGGTCCCCACGTGGCCCGTTTTGGTACATTAGATCATGATGTCATAATGCCAAAATGTTTTGTTATTTGTTTACGCAACAATCCTATGGTTGCCGTGACGTTGTGATTACTATGGAACCAATAAACCAAAGCTATATTTTGTATATGACGTTACTAATCACGTGGGGGCCAATTTGATTTATCAGTTAGTTTTATTTCGTTATCCATGACCGTTAGCAGTTATCTAACATTTATTTTATAATGAATATTGCAAGAACTCTACCGTGGGCTTACAATGGAGAAAACCGCATTTTTGTAGCTGCAAGTTGAGGAAAGCTTGTTCAGTTGTCCTTTTAGTAAAAAATTACCAATTAAAATCTGAAATTGACCTATTGAATGTATTCATTGCAATACAACCATTTAAAATTTGAAAATAGGCTTACACACACCAGAAAATTCATTAACACCACTGTGAAAATGAGAAAATACATGAAAAGTATGTGCATATTTTTTCAAAAGTATGAAAATGAGAACTTGAATACAAAATTCAAGGGAGAACCCAAAATAATCACATTAACATGCAAAATATCACCACCTACCTTTTGTTACAGACAACAAACTCTGAGCACCAACCACCAGATGCCAAACACTGTCCACAAAAAAGACTATAACAATATGTCACCACTTCTAGTTGCGACATAATTAGATAGCTTACCTGTACACCTGTCATCTACTTTAGGGTTCTTCTCACTTGTCTTTCCATTCTTCCAGCATAGTTGACAAACATATTGGAGCCTGCAAATAAACAGTCATCATGTGAAGACACATCTCGTATATATTCCACACACTTTGCTTTTGTTTAGTGGGCTCATGGTAGAGATTGTTTCATTTACAACTTAACAGCCATGTACATTTATGGAGGAGTATAAAACCCTATGTACTTTAACTAGTTTGATTTGATTTGAAAACTATTTTTATTCTGGGTAGCTCTATCAGTACAAAAAACTGATCTTCCTAGAGGCCTGGTTATCTTTCTGGAGAAAATTGTATATTTTTAACACATTAAAGCAATACAAAACCTACCTATAAGGACACCTTGGCTTAGCTGGAGGCATATATCCTGCTTGCTTCACATTGGCACCAAACTGCACAGTAGTTGGGGGACCAGCTGCATTAGCTCTACCAGCCCATGAACTAGGGTGAGATTTAGTAGGGGTGGCTTGAGCTGGCTGAGTGTTGGCCCCATTGGTGGCAGCGGTGTTGGTGTGCAGCTTCTTTGATTCAGCCACTATATCATCTTGTGTGGCTGGAGTGTCACGCTCAAGCAACCAAACATCTTTCTCAATGGCACTATGGCTGAAGTTACACAACATCCCCTGTTGGGCTCGTCTCAGACAGAATTGCATCTTGTAACACATCTGGAAGTATGCCTTCTTGCCAAAGTTTTTAAATGGCTGCGGACCTATACTATCAATCTTTCCCGATTGTTCCCGATGCGCTAATAGCTTGTTTTGTGCCCAGGGATGCCCCTGCATACAGATTGTGGGGTTGTCAAGATTCTCCATACTAATCATCGTGGGTTTCCCATAGAAGCATTGCTTACAGATGAACATGAACTCCCCGGAGTGTTTCTGAAACAAATCTCCCAGAGAAAATCCAGCCACAGCACGATTCTGTAAAATGAACTCCGATACGCTAAATTTTCCATCTTTCTCCAAAGTCCATAAGTTTTGCTCAACATCATTATGCGCAAATATACAATTATCCTCATAACTGCAATTACCGTGTATGTAATGGTTACAAAGGGCATATGGGCCATAGAAATGGCGGTTTTGTTTTCGCTCTCGGACTTTCAACCACCAAGTGCTTCCACGACGTATAAACAATAAGACATCCTGCAAACAAGTGTGCTGGACATCAAGAACGAGATGAAGACCTATCGTGTCACCCATCCTATAACACTGCTCACACCGCAAAGAAAAATCATGGGAACTTTTCATTGGATTATCTATTCTATTTCCAATTGTATTGCTCAAAGTTGTAGGTGTTGGCTGTCCACTGTTCATCATATTAGGGTTAATTTGGTTATTGAATCTAGGAGGACCAGGGCTGGGGAGTATGCCAAATGCAGGTGGGCGCTGATAGGGTCCAGTAGAGCCATTGAACCCATTATGGTTAAAGACCCCAGAGTTGAACCTAATTTGATTGTAAGGTCCAGGGGGTCCCATCTGGGGACGCATCATCTGATTCTGTTGGTTAGATGGTCTGACTTGTGTCAATGGAAGCCCAGGTCTGCTCTCTGGTTGTGAAGAAAGTTTTTGGCCTAGCTCTAGAATAGCCAAAAGAAAGGATTAATAAACAAAGCAAAATACTCTTAAGAACTGAGACAGGTTGTAGTCATGTTATATACTCCAATATCTTTTTCCCTTGTCTGTGCCTTGGAGTGATGCAGGCTTCATCATTCATTCTATGAACAACTTTTTGGAGAGCCGTATCAATCGCATGGATGAATGACATTGATGATACAATTTTACATACTGTATTAGCTTCGCTAAAAATGAAGTATTTTACAAATGGCAAGAACTTTTCAAATTGAAATTCAAAATATTACATTTAATTTCTTACCAGCAATGTTATCTTTAGTGTCTTTAATAAATTTTTCGATACTGAATACATTTTCCCTGTCCAGCGTCCAAAGATCCACTTCTTGTTGACTGTGGGGGAATTGACAGGCATCCTCAGGAGAAGATCTGCAAAGCAGGAGGGGGGGAGTAAAAAACAAGGCATTAACATGCAAAATATCACCACATGCCATTTGTTACAGATGCCGAACACCAACAGCAAAACACTATCCACATAAAAAAAATTGGAAACTGTAACAGTATGTCAACACTTGTTCAGTGCATGCTATAATGTATAATTACACAATACACTAAATGTATGATAATGACTTCTCCATGGACTACACAAACTTCTATGTGTTTATTAAACGGAAAAAATCCGCATTGACCATTTTCTGCCTAATATATAATTGTAGATGATTAACATTAAAACAAATATTCATACTTTAAAGGTTATTATTGTTCCATTAAAATGAATGAAGGAATAGAGAGATAAGGGGAATACTTACCTACAGCTCTCCCCAGTGGCAAAACTGATGCATCTCTTATATGGTCCTGTATAGCCAGTCTTTGGTCGAGGTCTGATCTTTAGCCAGTTCATATCAGCTCTTCCTTGACGACGAATCAGGAAAAAATTAGCTCCACAGGTGTGCGATAGATTAGGATGATACCTGTAACCTTTATATCCATTGCCGATCTTCTCAAAACATTGACTGCACGCAATGACATGTTCATAATTACGGCTAAATGACTCTGGGAGCATTTCCATGGGTGGTCTGGTCGCGCTGCTGGGTGCCTGGTAGGTAGGGTGACCCACAGGGGGCTGGGAGGTAGCACGGGAACTCATTGGGGTACTATGGCTTGAGGAACTTCCAGAGTTGGTACCAAAATGATCCAAGCCCATACTAGATTTTCCCTAAAACAGTGAATAGAACACTAACACAATCTGATTTAATAAAAATTTAAGACAAAATGCCCTAACACTAGAACTAACTAGAATTTATAAACTTTTTTTAAAAACAAAGAAAGTTTCAATAATGGAACATGAACAACAGAACAACATTCCAAACATGCACTGAAACCTACCTGCACGTCATACAAGACCTCAAAGATTTCATGATCCTACAATTAACATTAGGTATTTAGTCACAAGAAAATACAAGACTATCCAAACACTCCAATTATACACTCCTTTATGAACAACAGAAGGCCAATACTGAAAGAAAAACTGTAGATGCTTTTTTCCAAACCATTTGGGCCATTTGAAAATTATTGTATATGATAATGTTAATACAGGAGTTAAGAGATCATTGACATATCTGACCTTAATACAACATACCTGCTTTACTTCATTTGAGGTGTCAATCGGTTTAGATTTAGGCTTCTCAGGTTGGGTTTGAGGTTTAACGGGTTCTTTAGTGGGGATGAATCTGTTGCTGGTTCCTACGGTAACATACTCGATGTCATCGTCACTTACAGCATCACTGTCATCATTACTTGAAGGTTCGTCACTTTCTTCAGGAGTCTTAGGTCTCGCTGCTTTTCTTTCAGCTTTCTTTTGAGCTAAAATTCAAGAAAAATAAAGATATATGATTTAAATGAAAGTAGAGATTTTAAGTCTTGCCAATTCTTTTTAACCATGAATAAGTTTCTGAAATACTAACAAAATAAGTAAATAAAAAAAACATGATTTAATACAAAATGTAAGAACACTCAGAACACCATTTCATTCATATAACCCAAAATTACACTTATCATTCTTATAAAAAAGAATCCTTATGGGGATTAGAAAGAAAGAAAGTATGAAATATCACAAGCAACCTTTTAAAATAAGCCCCCAATGTTTCCATTTAAATCACAATTTTACATTCTCAAAAACCAATTGAATTAACTGATTATTAAAGATTTACGATACTGAATTCTCTAAAATAAGAATGTCCCCTTTTCAATTATTTTGAAAGATCATCCTGAAAATTAAATTTGAACTGTTGAACTTTTCATATGCACTACATGGAATGATGCAAAACTGTGACAATAACCTCTAATCGCTATAAATATGACACCAACCTTTTGTTTTCTTCTTCTTTTTCTTTTTCTTTGTGCTATTTAGGTGATCTTGAGGACCAGTATGCTGCAATAGAATTTAAAACATCAGATAATTACACTTGTTTAAAACAAATAAATGGGCTGATGGTGGATTTGTTAATTAGCTCAATTACTACTGCTAAATTGCTTTCAATTTCCTCATCAATTACATCGTTCACAAGCTTTATAGTGCAGAAGTCTCCTATATTTCCATGAGACATATATATTGACACTATTCTATATAACTAGACACAACTGATTTTTTGCTGATAAGTTTGCCCTTGATGGTTAGAACTGACCTCCAGTGTTGTCAGACAGTTGCTGGTAACAACTTACCTCCTCTGTGGTGATATTATTGGCGTTGGAATTCTGTGTGCTTCGATAAGTAACTAAAAAATAAGAAAAATATTGTTTATTACACTAAGTCTTGAAAAATAAAATTCATGAAAACGCCATTTTCATATTTAGAATGTCAACTTCTCTGCCAGAGAACCTAAGCTATGTCAATCTGTTCGAGTATTTCTTATATGTTTACTTCAACTGCATTGATAAAACCAAGTTTTTATCTCTTCTTTCAAAGTCCAGTGACAATGTTAATATTTGTATAAAATAAAACAGTACAGTAAGAGGTATATTTTAAGAGCTCTTATATTTTGAACAGTTTGAGATCAACATAACCTCCCTTCAATAATTAACTGGCTCTCTGCATTAAAGTAACTTATAACTTCCTAGTTCAGTAAGTTGAACATGTAAAACAATACATTGTATAGCATATACACTCCTGTAACTCAGACGCGATACTTGAGAATCCTGTTACATCTTGCTATCCTTTCTCAAATTCTATGGCTGGAATATCCCTTTTCTTTTCCTTGATTGGTTCTCTTTCTTAGTAACACCTAATACCCACTATCTTAAATCTACATCGACTAGCTACACTTCTTTATGATTATCATAGATAACTATTTAATATTCTAGCTTTTGTGACGTTTTATGATAATAGTAAATGTGGAATGGTACGTTAAAATGTAATGTCCTGATTTTCTCAATAGGGCTCGATAGAGTTATATTAGATATAGGCCTACTCAAAGGAAATGTCACAAATTTCAAGGGTATACACCAAGTCAGGGCCTTTAAATGAGTACTCACCCTTTGGTTGACTATTCCCATTGACTTTATTTTTCTTTACATTGGCTTTAGGTCGAACATCTTCATCTGAGGTCTGGTCAAGCATAGGAAAAGCCCCATCACTATCAGAATCTCGATACGTTAAATCTGGCTTACGTTTTGATATCGACATATACCCAGGTGGCTCGACAGGTGCATTCTGGGTAGATTTATATGAGGTTCCATTCTGCATGCTTTTATAGGTGGGGAGAGGCGCAGAGTTATTTGCTCCCATCTGTGAGGGCATCTTTGGTTTCTGCGACCCAATAGTACCAAATGGATTGAATGAGTTGTCTCTCTCACGGCTGGTCTCTGAATCCAACTTTTCTTTCAGCTCAACTATTAGAGCTTTAAAATCCTTCTACAACATAATCATTAACAAAACAAAAAATTGATTACTGCAGTATGTTATGTATCATATTTCTAATCAAACAGCCTTAAGGAAATCATATCATACTAGACTCCTACATCCTTATTCTACGATGTTGGAATTAATTTCAAGGTTGTGAAAAGTTGAGCCTTCTACATTAAGAATTTTCAGCTTACACTTATTTCAAGGTCGATTTGACCTGATAAATTCTGAGAATGTTATCTCAAACAGTTGCAATTAGAAGTCCATTTAGATATAGCAGGAAATATGAGCTTTTATTAAATGTTTATTCCTAGGGCCTTGTAATTATGGACAACATGATTTATATTTCTACTTCTCCACAAACTGCACGTTTTCAAGTTACTTCTCAGAAAACAAACTAACTTTCATTTCAAAGATTTACCTCTTATTTACAGAATAGTAGTATTTTGTAGAATAGTATTTTGTAGAATATTCAATAACAGTCTGAATAGATAACTTGATTATTTGCATTTCTTCACAAAGGGCACGTTGCATGAATGCAATATGATCCTTACATTGTGCGATCAATCATTCAATCAATACAAAATAGGGGAATCCCCTTTTTGGACTTACTTTTGGGAATAACTTACATACCAAAAATACACATCAGAAATTCAAAATGAAGGCATAAGCAACTGAATAATCCAGATGAAATATCAGCCTACCAGTTGTAATATTAGAGGCAGAATCTGTATATATTTTTTCCAGGAAACTCTTTTGAGTCCTTCCTTCCTCTTTTTGATCAACATTATTAAAGGTTGAATGTTTATGTTATCACCAATGTAATGTTCATGTCTTACTTTAATAAAAACTTGTTTTTATCATCCTCTTACAAAATATATGTTAATCAGCTCTAGAACTTCCTATCATGTAACATATGTAAAAAAAGCAATTCCGCAAAGTGGTTTTCTTGGAATCTCAGTGACAAGAAAATTGAGATGTTGACCACCCAGTTGATGCTGATGACTAAATAAAAATTTACAGAATTACAGTACTCTATTTAATATGCCATATAGAATATCATTTTTATTATTTTGATCTTCTAGCAGATACTTGCAAGATCAGTTAGATTCATAATTAGGCATAATTGAGCATTTGTCAATTAATGTGACTCAACATGCAATATGATATCAAACATGACCATTCTCTAATTGAATTTCTTAACCAATCAGAATGTGGCATAGCCGTGCTCTTATACTCCATACACATGAATGACCATGCATCTATTCAAGCATCCGGGAATCTATATATTGTGTTGAACTGTGACGTCACACCTGGGAATGGCGAAAATAAAAGCAAGTTTGGTATTTTGATATTTTAGGTAGATACCTCATTTTACAAACACCATTTTTTAAAACCCCTTTTTTATCATTTAATTACAATAGGTTTACAATGTAAAGTTACCTAGAGTGCACATCAGTGCTATGAAAAGAATAATATTGCCTGGATACACATACAAACTAATGGACTGACAGACAGCTTCTCTATATCCCTACGAACTTTGTTCGGTGGGATAATAATGAAATATGACTTACACTTTTTTTGATCGAATATCCACTCTCAGCTGCTTTAAGGGCTTTCCTTGTGTCCCCTAGTTCCCTGTAGGCCATTGCTAGACGATAACAGGCCTTGTAATTCTTGCCATTAGATATACTGACAGCTGAAATCAGACACAAGATGGTTTAAAGATTTGATACAAAGATTTCATACTTTTGTACAATTGGTTATTATGAAAACTCCCGGTGAGTGTTCTACCCCTGAGGTATAGGACCAACTAGACTCCCACATTAACACTGCATAGCGTCGCAGCAATGTCTTACATACCCTCTTTTAAGGACCCTGTGTAAATTACCTTTCTTTCCAGGTTGTCAATCATTCTATTCATGATATTACATGGACATTACTAAGGCTCATTCTAAGGCTGATGTGAAAAGGAGAGTTAACAAGAGTATAGTTATGTCTTTCATTACATGACTTTAAAATTGAATCTTTTAAATTATTGCCAAGTGGTGAATAAACTGATATAATGTACTAATATCGTGATAAATAGTAATTGTTAAGTGTATTCAATGTATCTCATACCCCCTGGAAACAATAAACTCTTGTACCTATTTAACGAAAATAATTGAGGTATTTTTATTAGTATTCTAACCCTTCACATAGTTGACAAATAGATATTTTGTGAATGTAATATGAGTATTTCTCACTAGTTCTCATTCAAAAACAGTGTAGTTGGTTTTATACCTAAAATACATAAAAATTGAAGTCAGCACTCCACAAATAAAAAGAGGTTGTTTTATAACCTAAACATCTTTTTTGGTTAGTAAAATACAGTAAAACCTGTGTTAGTGAACACCTGTGTCTAGTGAACACTCTTCTCAACACAAACTTCATTAAGTTCTGTACAAAGTTGCCTCACTGTAGTAAACACCTACCAAGAGTGAACACATTTTTGTGGCTCCATGGGTGTTCACTGTACATAGGTTTTACTGTACTTTATTGTCAAACTATGTTACATAAATTATACATCAACTGACATGTGTATAAAGTTGTAAACATATCATTTCCATTTGTATAACTCATTTCAATCACTTTTTAAATGGAATTTTTAACATCAACATCACAGGCAATGAAATAAATATTAACATGCTTTGACCCCCCTAGCAAGCTTTCAACATTTCCGCATCTGTTACCTTACAATATTTCTTATGATTTCCATTCCATGAAGTCAATCACCAAAATTGCTGCTACTGTTTCAAAAACTAAGCAATCATACTGTATTGCAAATGTAGGCTAATATTTAAATGGAATAAACAGAAATCAAATAAGCCACACGGTGAACAGAATCGCACCCTTGGACAGAATACACTTTTCAGGATGAATAATTCAAAATGGCCACCTTAACATTTACCCAGACTGCCTAAAAACTAATCGGTTCTAAACTTTCCATAGAAACATCTCTAAAATTTTAGGGTGAATCCATGAAAACTGTAAACAACCCTCAAGAGACACGTTTTAAGGTATCACTTCACAGTGTATCAGCTTTTTTTCTACAATTCAGATTTTCCTGAAAAAAATCCTGGTAAAAGATATACTGATGTATTACAAAATATGTGAAAATTGGAAAGATTGACCGTTAAGTTATTTCTAAAAAAATTAATTTAACATTGCTCTCAATGGGAAATTCTTTTTTACATGTATTTTTTAAAACAAGCCTTCACAGACACGATTTTAGGACGAAAAATCCAAAATGGCCGCCTTAACATTTACCAAGAATGCTGAAAAAATAATCACTTCTAAACTTTTATAGGTAGAAACATCCCTGAGAATTTCAAATGAATCCCTCAAACGGTTTGGCTGGAAACTTGTAGACAAGCCTTGACAGACAAGATTTTAGGACGGAAAATCCAAAATGGCCGTCTTAACATTTATCCAGATTGTCGAAAAACTAATCAGTTCTAAACTTTCATAGGTACAAACATCCCTGAGAATTTCAAATGAATCCCTCAAACAGTTTGGCTGGAAACCTGTAGACAAGCCTTCACAGACACGATTTTAGGACGGAAAATCCAAAATGGCCACCTTAACATTTACCCAGAATGCCGAAAAACTAATCAGTCCTAAACTTTCATAGGTACAAACATCCCTGAGAATTTCAAATGAATCCCTCAAACGGTTTGGCTGGAAACCTGTAGACAAGCCTTGACAGACAAGATTTTAGGACGGAAGATCCAAAATGGCCGCCTTAACATTTACGCAGAATGCCTAAAAACTAATCAGTTCTAAACTTTCATAGGTAGAAATATCCCTGAGAATTTCAAATGAAACTCTCAAACGGTTTGGCTGGAAACCTGTAGACAAGATTATTCGGAACGCCCGCCCAACCGTCAGCCCGCCCGCCCGGCAAACTGATTACAATATAGCACCTGAGGGTGCGATAAAAATGTTAATCAAAAAATGATCTTACCCAAGTCAGCATCATCGATGGCCTCTCTGAATCTTCCCTGAAAACAGACAAGACATACAGTGATAAACTTCACACTTGAAGAGCAAATTGAACCACCAAGCCCAATGACTTACGTTACATTGAGCTAGCTACTAGAGGTGTAACTCGCCAGAAAAATCCAACTCGAGTTCAACTTGCCAAATATTTCCAAAACTCGAGTAAAACTCGAGTTCATTCATTTCGTCCAGTACATATTGTAAACCCTGCTATACAAAATTACTGTAACTTCAAGCGCCAAGTTTCTCTGGTTTAGTCACATCTAAAAGGTATTTAACACGTGGGGCCATAAGAAACTGTGGTATTCATTGCAGTTATCTCATATTTCAATCAAAAACGATCTGGTATAGACGTCGCCGCATACGGTAAGGACGAGAGATCGCTAGAATCTAACCAAACAATATTTTAGAAAACCCAGAAGGGCCCCTCAAATTAATGAATGGTTTTCCCGGATTATCTTCATTATTTATACTAAAGACTGCTGGTTATCGATCTAAAGTTAAGACTTATGATCTTAATTTAATGATAGATCATCTTTTTATGTAAAAGTCGTGTAAACGACGTGAGAATAAGGGGACCATTTTTCAATTCAATTTTAATGACTACTCTATTATCGCCCGTTGAGTTCCTTCGATAGTCGATCTTTTTCTGATTTTTTTGGTGTAACTCGTCATTCCACGATATTTGTTGAACTTTGTGAAGCTTTGAGAGTGTTTTTAGGTGATGGGCGCTAAATATGGCGATCATTGGTATATTTATTACACTAATGAAGTAATGTTGCACGATCTCTGGGACCCGAATTCATTTTACATGCTTGCAAGATAGGCGAAACCGCGAGTTGACTCGAGTTATAGCTAGCTCGCGAGTTGAAATAGATTGCGAGTTTCTAGAGGACAACTCGAGCCAATGCATAGGCAGCTCTGACGAGCTGTACTCGAGTTACTGACTCGGGAGTTACACCTCTACTAGCTACCCACTTTCACAAAGAGAGTTTAAAACAAACTCAATAAGGATGGTATTTTAGCAGTTTAATCCCTCTTCAATATAAATAATCAGTATATTCTAGCATTAAAGATACAGATTTTCAAAAACATGCCTGCTCTTAAAATTGTCAATCTTATCTCAAAAAACATTCAAGCACTTACCAATTTGTTGAAGACAGCAGCTCGATTACAAAACAACGAGGCCACTTTATCCTGGCCAACGTGAAAGCTATGATCAACCTGTAGGGTCTTGGCCAGTCTCAGTGCATTACTGTAGCAGTTATGTGAGTGGCTGTACATCTCTTCCTTAAAACTCCAGTTGCCTTCCTCTTTAAGGTCCTCCATTAGAAAAATCATGTGATCCTTAGCTAATGAGATGGGAAGGTGCTCAAACTCATCACTGAAAAAAGAGAGCATCGTGAAACATAAACAATAATGAATATTTAGCTCTATTACATATAATAGCAAACGTTTTTCAAGAGGATCTAATTTTTCAGGGTGAAGGCTTCAAATGAGCAAATCTGACTAAATAGTTAGTGAGGTAGCACCGAAAAATGTACCCGCTTCTGAACAAATTGAAATTACTTGTTTTTTATGTATTTTTATGTGATACTTCAGAAAATTTTTGTCTGACGCGCCGTATCCGGGGCGAAAGTTGTCAAAATTGGGTTTTTGACCCTAAAAAGGAAAATTACAGGGGGTACATTATCATCATTGAATAATTCATTCAGTTGGTCTTCAATCATCATAATAATTTTATTGAGAGTTGATGAGATCATTTCAAGGTAGTATGCAAAGTTTCAATGGTCTGTCACGCATGGTTGCCATGGAAACCACAATTTTTGCTGAGAAAATCCTTAATTTTGGTAAAACCTGTACCTGTACATAATATAGAATGTGGATTATTTTTCAAATCAACAGATATCAGAACATTTTAGCATTCTCAAAATTACCAGGGCAGATCAAACATTTATTTAAATATAAAGGATATTGCAATTAACATAACTGGGGAGTGTCAAAGACCATACAATTACACAAGCGATCAAAAGTGGGCGTCGCCCTCATCATAGTAGATGATTGCCATTCTCTAAAAATACAGAGTTTTACTTGACTTTTGAGATACATTTATAATGATGTTCTTTGGTTATACTAAATATGAAGCATTTTTGGTAAATAATGTACATGTAAGTGTTATACTTATTGCATGGGGGAGGGGGTAGATGGGGGGGGGGGGGGTAACAGAATTGGAAGAGGGCAAAGCTAATCACCCTTAAGTATAAATCTAATCTACATAGTTCTGGATTTCATGGGGTACATCTTCTGGGTCTTCTTCACATTCATCTGAATATATAGGATATTATAATTCTGCATGATTGGTAAGTATAAAGACCATAGAATTACGCAAGTGATCAAAAGTGGGCGTCGCCCTTATCATATATTCATTCTCTATAAATACAGAGTCTAACTTGACTTTTGAGATACATTTACATTACAACTTCTTTGATTATACTTAATTTCAAGCATTTCTGGTTAGTAATGCACATCAAATTGTAATAGTTCTTGCCTGGGGGAGGATGGGGGAGAGCAGTAACAGAATAGGGAGGGGGCAGAGGTAATCAGCCTTAAGTATAAATCTCATCTGCATAATTCTGGATTTCATGGGGTACATTGTCTGGGTCCCCTTCATATTCATCTCAATATATGGGATATTACAATTTACAGGATTTGTCAAACACCATACAATTACATATTAATAAATGATCAAAAGGAGTGTCGCCCTAACAATAGTAGATGATTGGTTCTTTGTATAAATACAAAATTGAACTTGACTTTTGAGATACATTCATAGTTATACTGAACTGCTGTTATTTTAATTTATGTCAAGCATTTCTGGTAAATACATCTGTGTAAGTATTATAGTTTTTACATTGGGGCAGGGGTGAGTAGTAACAGAATTAGAATGTGTAGATCTCATCTGCCTTAAGTATAAATCTCATCTTTTTAATTCTGGATTTCATAGGGTACATCTTCTGGAGTTTTCTGATTCATCTCCTGGTGTTGCTATATCACCAATCTCTTGTATGAGAATATCAGTCAATATCCACTGGAAAGATATGGAGTCATTTAGTTTCCATTCAAGTCCATCTGGTGGTTCACTACGAGGATTTGCAATATGGGCCATACAAACAATAAGTGCTTTATATGGATGAGATGGTTATAACAATCAGACAGTCCTTCATAAGACCAACTTAGGAAAATTATCTAGAGATGAGACGAGTGTGACACCCATAATGACCTTGGAAAGGCACAAATAGCAAGTACAGAAAAATACATAAAGATGACAAAAACCGCAATCAAAGACTTTCTTGATCCATTTACCATTGAGGATGAAGGTCATCTCTCCGATGTATCATAAGGAAAATCTGTGCCAAATGATGTCGCTGCAGATCTCATCTAATTTTAGTCAAAAGGGGAAATTGCATGAAGAGATACCATCTGAGATTAGTTGAAAAAAAGATTTCATGATCTAATAAGACATATGAAATTGAAAACTATGGCAGCAAACTACAGCAGCAACAGTGACAGTAAAAAAAGTGCTCAGAACAAGCCTTTAAGATGGTTCAAATTCATTCTGAATGAAACATCTTTGAACAGCTTCGATCTTGCTAAGGAACATAAAATTAGCCTAGAATGTCTCCTGCAGTTCCTATTGAGCCCTGTGCCTTGGGCTCTAGGAACACTGACTGGACTTCTTGCAAGAACAGAGAAACCCATCCCTATGCATGAACATGTACCCACAAGTGCCAAAGGGAAAGGACCAAAATTTGTAATAGAACCCAGCAAGAAAAAGAAAACTTCTAAATGTATACAAATCATAAGGAAAACAAACCCCAACTATCCCAAATCATAATTCAACTTGAAAGGTAGTTTTGTTTCTGGATCTGGCGGATACTTTTTTCAAGATTCTACAATTGCAGATTGATTAGTTTTTGTATGTGATAATTACATGAAAAACTCTATAAAGGAACCTGAAAGAGGGGACAGACACCTTGCCCTATTTAAGGTAGAAAAACAAGAGTCCCTAAAGATTGGAATTAGTTCTTGTATGATGATGAAAACAAAAAGCAAATACAGCAAAGTATGCTGCTGGATACTTGAGTTGGAAACAAAAGAAGACTGATGTCAGTGGTATTTCCTCCAATATAGACCCTGACATATATGCAGCCTTCCTAGCACTTCACACATTCACAGATGAAGTGTCATGCAGAAGGGGCAATAGCACATTTTTAAAAGGCAAAGGTGGAGCGCCATATAGATACACTCAACTGAATGACTCTCAAATCTGCAAGTGTAGTGGTATACTTATATTCTCCCACATGATAACAATATATTGTTAGAGCAACACCCACTTTTGATCACTTATGTAATTGTATGGTCTTTGACACTTACCAATCATGTAAATTGGAATATCCCATATATTGAGATGAATGTGAAGAAGACCCAGAAGATGCACCTCTTGAAATCCAGAACTAAGTAAATGAGATTTACATTTAAGGCTTATTAGCTCTGCCCATTTCCAATTCTGTTACTCTCCCCCCCCCCCATCCTCCACCCCCAGACAATAACTATTACAATTAGATGTACATATATAACTTACCAGAAATGCTTGACATTAACTATAAATCAAAGATGTTTTTAAATAAATGTACTTCAAAAGTCAAGTTAAACTCTGTATTTATAGAGAATGAACCATATACAATGATTAGGGCGACGCCCACTTTTGATCACATGTGTAATTCTATGGTCTATGACACTTACCAACCATGTAAATTCTAATATCTTATATATTGAGATGAATATAATACAACCCAGAAGCTGTACGCTATGAAATCTAGAACCATGTAGATGAGATTTACACTTAAGGCTGATAAGCTCTGCCCGCTCCCAATTCTGTTACTACCCCCCCTCCCCTGTATCCCCATGCAATAACTATAACACTTAGATGTAAAAATGCTTGATATTAAGTATAACCAAATAAATTCAATATAAATCTATCTCAAAAGTCAAGTATTAAAAACTCTGTATTTATAGTGAATGGCAATCAACTACTATTATGAGGGCGACGCCCACTTTTGACCACTTATGTAATTGTATGGTCTTTGACACTTACCAGTCATATAAATTGCAATATTCTTTCTCTTTAAACAAATGTTTGGACAGCCCTGGTGATTTTTAGAGTGCTAAAATGTTCTGATATCTGTTGATTTGAAAAATAATCCACATTCTATATTATGTACAGGTACAGGTTTTACCAAAATTAAGGATTTTCTCAGCAAAAATTGTGGTTTCCATGGCAACCACAAGTGACAGACCATTGAAACTTTGCATACTACCTTAAAATGATCTCATCAACTCTCAATAAAATCATTATGATGATTGAAGACTAACTGAATGAATTATTCAATGATGATAATGTACCCCCTGTAATTTTCCTTTTTAGGGTCAAAAACCCAATTTTGACAACTTTCGCCCCGGATACGGCGCGTCAGACTAAAATTTTCTGAAGTATCACATAAAAATACATAAGAAACAAGTAATTTCAATTTGTTCAGAAGCGGGTACATTTTTCGGTGCTACCTCACTACCTAAAACATTGGCAAGTTTTGATGGAATTACCTCATTTTGCAAGTTTTGATAAAAATTATCCAACAAAAACACACAAGAAGCATAGTTATCATAGAAGTAAGCCAGAATCTTCCTATTGATGTAAGATTTTAACTGAACTACATTACCCAATCATTTATCTAATCATATTTTTGCTTACGTGAAAAAGAACCAATACGGCCGAATCCTATCCAAACGTTCCTTATGTTCTTCAGAGTCCATATGAGGAGGATAGAGACTGTCAAAGGCCTCCATGAGCATGCCCATGGCCTTGGCAGCACCCTCTTTTGTAGGGTTCTCAAAATCACCCCAAAAACCATCCATGTTAGGCTTGTTTATATTAATTCCTATTTATTGTGTGTCATTTCCTGAAAGCATATATATGAGATCATTTAATGCTTTTGTATCATGTTAATCATGATAGTTATTTTGCATGTCATATTTGCTGCATGCAATACATGTACATGTATATATGTATAAGGACCTCAAAAACACTGATTAAAGCTATATATTTCATCTTGTTATTACTGTTTTAGAATTCATAAATTCGTAACATAAGATAATATATAAAAGCCCCAAAACCATACTCTTAGGTGATATGGTTTGTAATTATACCTGATACTCATTTAGGCATATTTAAGCCATCGTTAAAAGGTTAAATATTCAATAGAAAATAAACGTCTTGGAGCATGCATATATATCCCATTGTGAGTAGTAACCTTGAGAACAACAAATAATAGTACCCTACGGTATAACAATACTTTATTGTTGCCAGGAATGCCACTTTCTGTTGTAAGATTAAGTTGATAATATATCATAGTCATGAAAAACAATATAATCAATCAAATGGTTTCATATCTAATACCTTAAATGTATGCATATAAACTATGCTGAGAATGCCAATCAATCAAGTGGTTTCATTTCTGATACCTTAAATATATGCAATATATAGAGAACAATAATAACTAGAGGTAGTTGCAGCGTGGGATATCACAGCATTCTATCAGTTTCTTTTGATTCCTTGCATGGCAGAGATGGTCTGAGTATCAGAATGAGGGAGATGAAGCTCTCATAAATAAGCAAAATCAAAATACAGTAAAACCTGTCTAATCCGAACACCCATGGGACCAGCCAAGAGCGTTCAAATTGGCAGGTGTTCACATTTCGAGGATATTGTTGATCGGGGGGGGATTTTCATTGTTCAGTCCACTATACTGAACACTTAATACTAAGTCAGAAAACAATACATGATGTTGATGAGTTTATTCTACAATAGGCCTATAGCCTATATGCTATTTTTATTTACATTTTGAACAATTTCATTATTTTAGTAAAAATAACTTATATTTTGGCAAAAACTTTGTAATACACTGACAGTATAAGTATATGATAGTCTCGTACGAAATCTTACGCTTCTCAAATGACTTATCCCATATTATGGTTATATAGCACTGCTTTACTTTTGCTTGAAAAAGTCCTTCATTGTTGTTTGTTTTTTGGCACTTTTAGCATTAGCAATATTTGAGGAGACATCCTCTTCAAGTAAAAATAATTTTGAGATGATGGATGTATAATCCTCCCTTTTTAGGAGGCATTTTAGTGATAGGATATTACGAAGTTGCATTTTTTCTCTTTCTCGTGATATCTTGTCTGCAATTGTGTCTGTGTTGTCTTTGTGATTATAAAACATTTACTGATTGAATCTTAGCTATCATAACAGACCCATGGGATATAAAACATCTAAGACCTGTTCATAATCCAAATCAAAAACATCCAGTTAATTTACAATAAGGATAAACCAATTATCTCCCAGAGTCTCACCTTTCTCTTAATCCAAATCAAAAACATCTTTTAGGAGGCATTTTAGTGATAGGATATTACGAAGTTGCATTTTTTCTCTTTCTCGTGAAATCTTGTCTGCAATTGTGTCTGTGTTGTCTTTGTGATTATAAAACATTTACTGATTGAATCTTAGCTATCATAACAGACCCATGGGATATAAAACATCTAAGACCTGTTCATAATCCAAATCAAAAACATCCAGTTAATTTCTAATAATGATAAATCAATTATCTTCTTGATTCACACCTTTCTCTTAATCCAAACATAAAACATTCAGTTCTTTTCTAATAGGATAAACCAATTAACTCCTGTATTCACACCTATTCAAAAAATAAGGGATGTCACTGAGACTAAATAAGTTAATTAGGACAGTATTGGTTCTTTGATTACATTGTACATGTATATGTAAAGATAAACAACAACTATAACATTGACTCAATATGTGGCTATTATTGAAATGTCCAGACATTTGATTTCTGATAAAAATGTTCAGATTAGACAGGTCACTTTTTCACATCTGGTTGTTCACTGTTCAGATTAGAAGGTGTTCAGAATTCAAGGTTTATTTAACATGGGAGTCAATGGTAGGAAAAAATGGGACCGAAAAAAAGTGTTCAAATTGGAAGGTGTTCGGATTAGCCAGGTGTTCAGATATACAGGTTTTACTGTATTAGAAAGGGTAACTAACACTTCTGACTGCAAATACTAGTGGCGTAGCCAGGATGTGACAGGAGGGGGTTCAAATATTTATGGCAAAATTTTTTTTGGAGCTACCTAACAGTGAATTTGGTGAAATTTAATTAATCACTGCAAAAAAACAACAAGGCATTAACATGACAAAATGTCACCACCTAGTTGCTCACAATATTATGAGTTCAAACTTAAGTCAGATTTGAATTTCTGAGAACTTGTAAAGTCAAATTTGAACTTCTGAAAAGATGTAGATGATTTTGAAAAAAAAATTTGGTCAATTTGAAGCAAGTTGAAAACAGACCTTTTTGACCTTTTTTTACCTTGAGGTCATTAAAGGTCAAATGTCAAATCTTAAGTCAGATTTGAATTTCTGAGAACATGTAGATGATTTTGAAAAAAAAAATTAGTCAATTTGAAGCAAGTTGAAAAAAGACCTTTTTGACCTTTTTTGACCTTGAGAAGGTCATTGAAGGTCAAATGTCAAATCTAAAGTCATATTTGAATTTCTGAGAACATGTAGATGATTTTGAAAAAAAATTTAGTCAATTTGAAGCAAGATGAAAAAATACCTTTTTGACCTTTTTTGACATTGAGAAGGTCATTAAAGGTCAAATGTCAAATCTAAAGTCAGATTTGAATTTCTGAGAACATGTAGATGATTTTGAAAAAAAAATTTAGTCAATTTGAAGCAAGTTGAAAAAAGACCTTTTTGACCTTTTTTGACTTTGAGAAGGTCATTGAAGGTCAAATGTCAAATCTTAAGTCAAATCTAAAGTCAGATTTGAATTTCTGAGAACACGTAGATGATTTTGAAAATGTCTTTTAGTCAATTTGAAGCAAGTTGAAAACAGACCTTTTTTGACTTTGAGAAGGTCATTGAAGGTCAAATGTCAAATCTTAAGTCAAATCTTAAGTCAGATTTGAATTTCTGAGAACACGTAGATGATTTTGAAAAAAAAATTTAGTCAATTTGAAGCAAGTTGAAAACAGACCTTTTTGACCTTTTTTGACCTTGAGAAGGTCATTGAAGGTCAAATGTCAAATCTAAAGTCAGATTTGAATTTCTGAGAACATGTAGATGATTTTGAAAATTTTTTTTAGTCAATTTGAAGCAAGTTGAAAAAAGACCTTTTTGACCTTTTTTGACTTTGAGAAGGTCATTGAAGGTCAAATGTCAAATCTTAAGTCAAATCTAAAGTCAGATTTGAATTTCTGAGAACACGTAGATGATTTTGAAAAAATTTATTTTAGTCAATTTGAAGCAAGTTGAAAACAGACCTTTTTGACCTTTTTTGACCTTGAGAAGGTCATTGAAGGTCAAATGTCAAATCTTAAGTCAGATTTGAATTTCTGAGAACACGTAGATGATTTTGAAAAAAAAATTTAGTCAATTTGAAGCAAGTTGAAAACAGACCTTTTTGACCTTTTTTGACCTTGAGAAGGTCATTGAAGGTCAAATGTCAAATCTAAAGTCAGAATTGAAGGTCAAATGTCAAATCTTAAGTCAGATTTGAATTTCTGAGAACATGTAGATGATTTTGAAAAAAAATGTAGTCAATGTGAAGCAAGTTGAAAAAAGACCTTTTTGACCTTGAGAAGGTCATTGAAGGTCAAATGTCAAATCTTAAATCAGATTTGAATTTCTGAGAACACGTAGATGATTTTGAAAAAAAAATTTAGTCAATTTGAAGCAAGTTGAAAACAGACCTTTTTGACCTTTTTTGACCTTGAGAAGGTCATTGAAGGTCAAATGTCAAATCTAAAGTCAGATTTGAAGGTCAAATGTCAAATCTAAAGTCAGATTTGAATTTCTGAGAACATGTAGATGATTTTGAAAAAAAATGTAGTCCATGTGAAGCAAGTTGAAAAAAGACCTTTTTGACCTTGAGAAGGTCATTACCTTGAGAAGGTCATTGAAGGTCAAATGTCAAATCTAAAGTCAGATTTGAACTTCTGAGAACATGTAGATGATTTAGAAAAAAATTGAAGTCAGTCTAAACAGTATTTGTTAAGTTATAGGAAGTTGTAAGAAATTGTTACAGACGCCGGACGCCAACCGCCGGACGCCAGACGCCAACCACCAACCGCCGGACGCCGTCGCAAAAAAACGGAGACCATAACAATATGTCACCACTTTTGGTGGTGACATAAAAACGGAGACCATAACAATATGCCACCACTTTTGGTGGTGACATAATAAATTATTGAAATACTGCAAAATTTGGGGGGGGGGGGAGATCGTATAAGTGCCGAAAAAGGTGGTTTTCGAATTTTTTTAGCCAAGATTTTGTTTTTTGGTGGGGGGGGGTGTTCAATACCAATAACAATATAGGACTGTGGTTTACAGTTATACGTATTCGATCAGAATCAGACATTTGAAATAAAGCAGCTTTTAAAATAAATTGAGCAAAATTCATGATACTTTTTGGGAAAATATTACTCTTGATTCAAGACACTTGAAACCCCCCTCCCCCCTTATCTACTTTAACAACTGCTATTGAACCACACATCACAACCCCATATTTTACCAAAATTAGAGTCCCTAGTTTATAAACTAAGAGAGTTGTCTTGCTTTTATTCCTTGATTCAATGGTCATGTTAAAACATGATAGCATTTTATATTTTCTGACATGCAAAAGCTCACTACCTTGACAATGCATTGTACCTGTAATTGCATCCCAAATACACTTACCAAAGTACTTATCTTTACAAGAGGTGTTTTTGTAAGTATCTACCCTGATTAGCTTACATGATACAGGCCCATAGCCAGGGGGTTTGGGGAATTCCAAAAATTCTTTCAATTCAATCATGCAGTTTTTAACCATCCCCCTGG